AGCCGAAATAATGAATTTTCATTCACCGGGCGCTTCCGACCACTGTAACGAATTCTCGACAACGATGAAAAAAAAAGGGAGAAAATATGTCCGCAAAGAATATTTGTGCCACCCATCGTTTACACAGAAAAAATAACTCACCTGACATTAATGACTACTAATGACAGGTCTACAAAATTAAAATTTTTTGACAGATGTTTTCATTTTGAAAACTAATTTTATATACTTTTGGTAGGCTGATTTCAACAATTGTATGCATTTCTTTGTATCGCGTAAGGTTTTTTGCAAATATTAAAGGAAAAAAAAGCGGAACAGAAAGTGGATTCCAATTTAAAAAATAGTGAAAAAAAAACTTTACTCAGACTTTTTTGAGTGAAATCTTCGTCTTGTGTTTTTATGGGCGTATCCTGTTTTAACATCCAGCAGTAGTCCGCCGTTATCGCTATGCTCGATCGGCCTTGGTATCGCGGTTCTATTTCCTTGATATCCTGGTGAAACCTCTTTCCCTCTTCTTCACTAACTGCTCCAAGATTTTCAGGAAAATATTTCACGTGTGAAAAGAAGAAATGCACTTTCAAACTCATATTACAATACTTTCGTAGTTTTCGTCCTTGGAGTTCCCAAGAAGCTTATCAATCACTTCTTTAAATGAAACCCAGGAGTTTTTCTCGACATTGTTCGTATTTTAAACAGTACACGAGCAAAGTAACAATCATCACTGTGATTCCTTGGCTCTTGCCATACCATAGGAACACCAAAGCTTAAAGATTTCTCCTACCTTTTTGCCAGTTTCTTAATGCTTCCACACAATCGAAACAAACGGTAGGAGATGTCCCGGGCTTTTCTTGGTCGTCAATTTTTTCACCAAAATAAGCGTGGTATATATTTTTCACAAAAGAAGTTATAGTATGCTTTTGCTTTACTAAGGCATAACTTCCACAGATATAACAAAAGTTAAAAGTAAACATGGAACAAACATATTCATGTTATAGTTATGTATTGAACTTTAAAGTTAGGAAACAACTCTGTGAGTCATATATTATGTCTGCATTGCCTATATATTGCCTCGTATTGTTTTACCCATGTTTAACACTTGTTGATCGTCAATGCCTTTAAAAAATAGAAAACAACTGTTGTAGGTTTGTGTATATGTGTGTATTTAAAAGATAAGCTAGTTTTTCGCTGTGAAACTCACAATGTAAATATTAACACAGATCTGCACTTTACGAGCATAGACGTTTCTTTGCCTTATAATCGAAAGAACATTAAAACCGTGTTATTAGAAAAATAAAGTGCTGATTGGGTTTTTCGTTTTTTTTTTTTTGATTAATCACATAATTAATTCAATAATTACTTCCTTTCTTTTTTTTTGTGTATTTTTTTTTTTACTACGGGTTCTCTTGTTATAAATTGTATTGTCAAAAAGGTGTATAATGTATTGGTTAATTGTGTTAGGTTAATGTTCAGTGGCTGATATATATATATATATATATATATATATATATATATATATATATATATATATATATATATATATATATACATATATATATATATATATATATATATATATATATATATATATATATATATATATATATATATATATATATATATATATATATATATATATATATATATATATATATATATATAGTCATCTTTCGTGATTTCGACTTAACTTACATAAAAGTTAAACCTATAAGTCAGTAATAAAAACAAATGCTTGGCATCGATTTTCATGAATAAATTCTAAATTATTTTTAACTAGAACTAGCTGCACCTAGCAATATTTTTATGAAAAAATAAATTTAGAAATTGCAGAAAGAAAAGCCATTCTAACGGATGAAGACAATTCTTTCTAGACGGGTTTCTCAGTTCAGATAAAATTTTTGGTTTATGTAGGTTGACTTGTCACATAAAGCGAAATAACGTATCGATAAAATTGATACATCGTCGTTTAAAAACTTGCTTGGTTTAAAACGCTTTTATGACGATCGAGAAATCATTTATTCGACTGTATAGAACTGAGCGAAAAAACCGTCGAACTCTTTATATACGCTGGCGATAAATTCTCAGATTCAGTAAGAAATATCTATACGTTGGAAATCAAATAAAGTATAAATCGGAAAGGACTTTTAACAAATATGAAAGGTGATATATGTTACATCGCTGCGACGCCTCCGGAAAATCTCAAAAGAATTGTTGGACCGAATTCAGGATTTTTCTTTCAATTGATCGTTCGAAGTTCAAACGACACCCATATCTCGCGCTTGTATTCGATTTTGCTTCGCAAGGTTTAAAGCCCGTTTTGCAAAAAGAAACCAAAACTACCGAAAGCCAAACTTTTCAGTTTTTTTGTCCTCAATTTTTACAATACGTACACCGTGTTTCGTACAAAAGTTTCTTGGACTCTCCAGAAGATTTAGAACATTATAATTTTGTTGATCCAGGGTGTCCCAAAGGTGTCCCCTCCGATATCAACTTTGTTATTGTATATATCGATATTTTCGGAATCTTTGGTTAAAATAAAGGTCACTTTCTTAAGAAATTCCTATTCGAATTTTGCATAATTTAGGCAGAAATTGAGGTTATGTTTTTTTCTTCATATTTTGATTGCCCCATTAAAATTGTGTTGTGACGCTACTGACTCAGGCGTTCCATCGAAAATTTAACCGCAGACTAAGGAGATGAAGAACTACTCAATCAGTTTGACAGATGCGATTCAGCTTATACAGGGTGTCCCAAATAGATGGTGCCGTTTTGGCGAATATTACTAGGACAAAAAACATGAAAACTTTGTAATTCATCCTATTTTTAAATTTTACTTACTTTATGAGATATTCGAATTAGGTCACTTGTTGGCAATATTAGGTATTTTTTAAGTAGCCAATATACGATACTACTTTTTTTAAAGATGTAATACTCCAGATATACGAATAAAACTTATTGCTAACAATACAATTAAAGTTTATAGGTTAACCAAAAACTACTACTTATTTAAAATACAAACAAAATATGTACCAACAAAAAACTTGACAACTATAAACTTTTTAAATAGAAATATGAAAAACATCAAAAACAAACCGAAATGTCAAAATTTGTTTATACCTTAATGCGTCAAAAAAAAAAAGATTGCGATGTCATAGCCAACTGTAGTAACATTTTTAAATATTTTGATATTTCTTTATTGTTTTGATGCCAGATGAAACGAGTATTTTAAGAGGAACATTTTTAACTAAACTTTATGGACCTAATTAACGAATACTTTTTAGTTAACTATTTTTTTATAGATTTATTTATTCAAATTTGTTACCTTGGTTAGTTAGCCTATAAATTACTTATTTTTGTTATTTGATATTTTCAATCAAGCCATGTTATGAATTTTGAAGTTTTATTAAATCTCTATTGTTAGCAATAATATTGCCAACAAGTAACCTAATGTGGGCAACTTAAATTCAACAAAAATTTATATGAATGTTATCTTAAACCTCGAATATGTCAAAAAGTAAGAAAAATTTAAATATAGGATAAATTACAAACTTGGCTTATTTTTTCTCCCAGAATTGGTATCTCAATAAAAATATAGGGTGTTCTATTTGAAAACACATTACCTCAATTTCTGCCTAAACTATATAAAATTTGAATAGGAATTTCTTAAGAAAGTGACCTTTATTTTAACCAAGGATTCCAAAAATATATACAAGGTGTTCCATTTAACATAAAGTTCACATCGGAAGGGACACTTATGGGGCACCCTGTATCAACAAAACTAGAATATTTTAAATCTTCAGGGGAGTCCAAGAAACTTTTGTACGATACTTTTTTTCGTATCTCCTATGGGTTTGTATAGCGGGTCGTTTTATTTGCACACGGTGTACATTGTTATTGTAATACGCAAATGTTTTTTATAGCTCAAAATTGGAACAATGACTTTTCCGAAGAAAAGTTTGCAAATATAACACAACGCAAAATAAATAGGTTTAATGTAAATTCAAATCCACAACGGCTTCAAAAGTCAACCGCAATTTAATGCCAATTTTATTATTCATTTTTTATCTGTAATAAATTCAGCAATCGTATTCCGTCCTACATTATTAACCGCAATTTGGCTTCGTAGTACAAACGATAGTACTTTTTATTTTTTATTTTGTTTAAAGTTGCAAGACCAAATAACGCACTTGGAATATTTGATGCGGAATGCGTTGTTGCCAAGCAAGCGAATGTAAATTTTCGAATGATTCGCGGGATATTTATGAAGTCTCCGTTTGATACGCAAGGTGTCAAAGTAAACTTTTTAAAATGCATATTTATTAATATATCCATTAACTAGAATATTAAAAAAGAAAACATATTTTTATTTAACCTAAGATCTTTCAAGCATTAATTGTATGTAGTGTATTTTAATTAAATTAAACAAAAATTGTAAAAGACATAAATTTGTAATATCTGCAATTAATTTACGCACTGTTTATTAAAATTTAATAAGAGACAAAATTATTAAAAACACCATCATCAACTTAATTAGAAAAAGTTAACTTCCAGTTCATAGACGTTCATCACAAAAAAGGGGGATCTTAGTGCAACACATACCTCGATTTTGTGTAACCAAAAACTGTATTTAGAAAAGAGTGTGTACCAAATTTCAAAAGGACGTTTAGAAAATTCATCGGAGATTAAGTAATAATTATGCATTTTAAAAAGTTAACTATATATTAAAATCAAAAAGTTCAAATCGAAACTAATTGATGATAAGGATGATAGTCTCCTGTGTTTTGCATTTCTAATTTTTGATAAACTAGGTAAGCACAAATTGTATGGTTCAACAGTAATATACATTATCTGCAAAACGGAAAAATATAATTTTGCATACTTATTTTAGATTTTGTCTGCTATTCCTACGCATCTAATGTGAAATAACAAATTTAATATTGGGGATAAACATAATAATTTTAAGGGTTTCAATACAATACAACGGAAAGTACCTTGAATCGACTTACCTTTAACGGCCTCCGGATGGTAACTGTTTCGATTGTGGTAGTAGAAGCCATTTCTAAAAAAAGGATATGTTTATTTACCCGATTGTCTCACTAAAGAACAGCTATATGCGCAGTCAGTTCGTCCAAAGTCTCTTTATAAATACTAGATGCCATTAAAATTTAGCTTAATTGGCCCAGTCCGGATAAATGAGAGTCACTGCAACGAATTATCCGAAACTCCGGGTATTTTTGTTAATTGAATAAACTCGTGCGGTTAAATTCGTGGATCGATTCGATTCATTCATGTATAGTATTATCCAATAAAACGTATATCCATTGCAGCGTATATACAGATAGGGAATATTTTCGATAGAGAAATTAATGTTCTAAGTTCTATTTTGTTACAGATGTTGTCACTTCCTTTCTTTTTAAAAGTATATCTGTAAAATAATTTCATTTTCTTCACATTTAGTTGAAACGGACCAATAAGATAACCAATGACAAGAAACATTGATAAGAGCAATCTTTGAAATGTCAAATTTAATAGGTTAAAATTTTTACTCTGCGCAATAAAATAAAAAATTGACAGTATGACAGTATCTTCAATCCTAACTCGTGTCAAATAAATTAATACCTGGCATAAAGACATGTGTGTTTCAAGGGATATTATCACAAGTCAAGCAAATTTGCCACAAGCCATACTATTCTTGTGCAGTTAGATTGTGATCTACTTAAGTAAGTGCTTATTCGATGTGTTAGTCTGTGAGATAGAAAATTTTCTCTAGCCCATTCGTCAATAGTATTTCAATTGTATTAATCCGCTTCATCGGGAGGTATCCAAACGTTATCCAACAAATCTGCTGAGCTATTAAAGGTTCATGCATTCCGATGACTAGGGAAAAAAATCACCGGCACACCAGAATTTCAGTTTCACCGTGCCCTTCATACATATCGCAGACCTTTAAAAACTAGAACATCAGAGAAAAATACTGTTTTTATAAACAATCAAAATTGCTATTTTTTTATTGTTATTCAATGTTACATAATTTATTCACTTAAAACATATGAATTAAATCCATATTTTAAACGAGATTGACTGCGATGGCTCACGAATTACAAAAACTTTCACTGATTTGTATATATTGAATATAAATATATCACCGGAAATTTTGTAACCTTTTAAACGGCATACTGCTAGATATGGAAATGTGCAATTTCTCTTTAATTCTTAATTTAATCGTCGATCAACTTCGTGCGACTTTTCGACCTCGCAAGGACACACCGGAAATTGTTTCGAAAAACCTAGAAAATTTTTAAAAATTTATTTTAAATCAAAATGCTCTTGGGGTGCCGGCAGATCGTTTCGCTATTTGGAACAAAAAATAAATAAAAATTGTTGATTTGTTAAAACAAAGAATAATTTTATTTTTAAACAAAGGGCAACGCACCAAAAATCGAGGTTCCACCGTATTTATATAAGCCCCGTATATCGATTTGAAAACCGTAAATATTGACACTGATTTCCAACCCTAGCAGAACTTGAATAAACATTCGCTAAATAATAATTGAATATTTTTGTTTATCTTGCATTGTTGCTTCTGCCGGTTTACGCTGCGGTTATTGAATACAAAATGAAAATCAAATATGTATGAATCCGCAACAGTAAAAATGCGCGGCCTTATTGCGTTTTGCGCGAAACCGCTACCAAAAACGTCATTGCCGAGAACTAAAACTCTCATAGTAGAAACAAAGAGATTTGTTCATTAAACACACGCGCAAATTTTTAGAATTTTAAAAATATATAAACACTGTATTCTCGTGCCATTGTTCCATTGTTTTCAACAACAAACTTTGAAAACCGTTCCCTTAAGTGCCTTCAACGAACACTAACAACTAAACAATGAACCCCTACACATATCTACATCCCGGTCGTAGAGCTATTTGAACTCAATTATGACCAATAAGGAAAAGAAAGAAATAAAAAATTAGAAAGTAAATTAAATGTGAGATCAGTGTAACAGGAAAACGTCCAAGCAAAATTAAGTCGTAGCCAGATATGTTGTACAATTAATAATAACAAACTTCAATACTTCTAAATAATTACAATTCATCTTTACGAAATAAAAAATCACAGCATCTTTGACTTTTGAAACATTTTACCGATAGCTAAAATGGATACCGTTGTAAAGGTGAGCCAAATTTGATTCATTTTCGTTAAATGGTTTTTGCTTTATCTCTTAAGGGAATGTGATGGGATGTGTTTGAACTTTTTCGAAGATAAATGGTTGGTTTATTAGAATCGCAACTATAGGCGTGTTAAAACATCGCTATTAATAACATTTATTTGTTCCAAAAAAATCAATATCACTTTTATTGTAACAAACATTATATACCATTCGTAAAAGAAATAAAAATGCTTGATATGTTTCGAGTTTATTTTCAAAAAATTGAAAACGCAACTGTTTCTGTTAGCATTTAATGCGTTTTAACAGTAGATTTATATATATTTTGCTAAAAGAATGAATATTAGTAAATAATGATAAGGCAAATATTCCCAAAGATGGGGACATTATTATGATTTTATTTATTTTACTAATATTGATAATATCGACCATCATTTGTGTTTTGTTGCAATAAAAGGGACATCACTGCTTTTAATTTTTTTTACAAAATAAATTTTATTTGTAATGACTCAAAGTTTAACAAAATGCGTTGAGTCATTCTCAAGTTTTTTTACATTTATTTCCTAAAATGTTTGGATACGCCCATCACTTTCCCTTTAGAAGAAATGCAAAAACTTATATACGAAAAAGAAGAAACGGGATTTAAAATTAAAGAATGGGACTATGCCCCTTGGCGACCATTCTACAAATTTCAAAATAACTTCCAGCATTTTGTCTTGACCGCTTGAGAAATAAGTTTTTTCACCCCAAGTCTTTACGGCAATTACTTTTTAGGTTTTGTACTTTTATTAGATCATTTAACATAATTTTGGATAGAGAATATATGCCAATGTGCCATCTAATGAGGGAAACTGAAGTATTGCAGAAAAAAAGTTGTATTTCCTGTAGTTTTTAAATTAGTACGACTTCTACGAAAACACAAAACTTTGAATATCTGAATATCTCAACAATTCTTTACATTCACATATGAGCTCTAAATATACGTTTATGATGCAGTCACCCTGTATAGTCCCATTAAACTTCTGCGTTTGCTGGATTTCTCGTGACTTCGAAGCGATTCGCAAACTCCCAATTTTCCAATTCACCAAAATTCGAGGATTATGCCTTGCGATTTACACGATTTCGAGGACCGGTTAGCTCTTCGATTTTAACGCCTTCACTTGGCAGCAAATGACCAATAAATTGAGCGCAATTGAAGTAAAAAACACCACAGTTTACAGCTCCATTACAAAGGATTCGTGACATACAATTCGTGACCGCCAACCTCTCGAGTCTGAAGTTATTGTCCTCTGTTTTGTGGTTTATCTTGAAAGTCAGCTAGCTTAAATTACCTGTAGAGCCGTTCTCGGCACTCGGCACTCCATAATATCCCAGACAATACCAAAAAAACTCGATCTGAATTTAATCTATTTGCAATTATGGTTTTGAGGAAAATTATTAATATTTTAAGTTCTTTGAAAACAACGGAAACAACTGTTCAATTATCGTCACATTAAACCGAGCAACAGATATGAAACAGATTTTTTGCTAGAAAACAAACCGAAACTTTTTGGAGTTTCTTAAATTTCTTTCCGACACGCTTATGTGAAGTATTGTGCATAGTGCATAATTAGCTTAAACTGAATCTGAACTTACTGCGCCATAAACAGTCAAGAGTTTTATACACTAAGTACTTCACGATGTGGTACGAAAAAACATTTTTCGTTTCAAATTTTAGCAAACTTTAGCAAATATCTGAATGAACTGGTGAACTCGGTTTTGAAAGTAATGTCACATGCAGTTATCGGATAAATTGCAATAAAGCGTATAACTATTAGATAATCTACGGGCCGCTAATACTGTAAAACTGATGAGTCTCATACTATTATTGTGACACTTTTGTAAAGAAGGGAATGATCTTCCGCGCCTTGTCTTTTCTCCTTCCTGAAAATTGAATAGCATATTTTTTGACGAAATACTGTCGAAAAAATTCGATAAACGGAAAACTGCCGAAATGTTAGTTTTGGTTAGTTTGAAAACGAGATTTGAAATGATTTTGCCTGTGTATATTGAATATTCAACTTTTTTTTTTCATGGTCGTTTCAAAAACTCCTGTATTATCAGCATAGGCAGAGCCACTATATATGTAGAAGCTCTATGCAACACCGAATCCTGATTGACTATTCAATAAAGCCACTTCAAATATATTAGATTTCTCCCCATATACCTTGTGTCCCCCTAATTGCTCTGTCGGTAAATAATTAACCTTGAGTATGCTTCAAAATAGATAGATACAAATTTTACGCTAATATTGGTATAAGTGAATATAACATACTAAATGTGAGTATTTATTTATTAATCATTTTTATTGTAACTAATACCCACAATTATTTGCGAATAAAATTAAGATCAGCTGCTCCAAAATTGATATCATTGACATGGTTTTCGCTGGAATCAATACGAATATTTTCGTTTCTGGTATAACATATATTACGATAATTTTTTTATATTTAAGATAATAACTGGTTGATGATATAAAAATATTTACAGGTTCGAAAATATATAATCTCGTTTATAAAATATAGGATTTTTTTAAACCAACTTTTGGGAAAGCCTGATAAAATACATAAACGAAAAGGCTGAGTTAAATAGCTAAGATTTAAATTTTAGGAACTAAGAAAAAATTAAATGTCCACATGCCATTTATTAGTCATGGACTGCATACGAGTCATCGTAAAATGAAGCTGACTAATCAATTTGTAATACTTTTAATAATAAAACCTAAATAAATAAATTAAATGAAATATAGGTTACTCACCTGTTTGATCAGTGAATCGATAAGGGAACGACGATAACAGAAGATTAGATAACGCAGTCACCCTAAACAAGAAACACTATCGGTGCACTATCTAGGGTCATGAGATCAAATTCGCAGCATTTATGATCTAATTTCGTGGAAATCAACACAAAAACTGTTATTCCAAATGTCAAAACACTGCGCTTCGTGTAGTTCTCTGCTGCTTTCACCCACTGATTAATGGCAAGGCACGTTTTGTCAAATGCTGTGCGCGCTAGTGGCCGGCAACCAACCATACAAAACGTAGTTCTAGCATACACGAAATTTTAATTCTTGAAACAAAACGCACTTTGATATTTGGATTTGGTCACTATTGGGTAAACAATATTTGCTTGGGAACAGATATTTAAAAACGCACATTTGCTGATGTATAAAAAATTCTTAATTTCAAAAATTAAAAAAAAGAAGCTATTTTTGTCATTAGGCGTGTAGGTAGTGTAACTGCCATCTATATCAATTTGTCTAATAATTGTTTTCGTAATTCGCACTTTTTTTTTCTGAAAACACAGTCAAACTTCGGCCTTGAAGAAAAACAAGTGTGCCATTAAGATGGAGTAGGGAAAAAGAATTTTTAAAATTTTAAAATAAATTCTTTTCTAATTAATGAACGATTCACATAGTCTTTTTACTGGAAAATAATACCAGGCGTCCCAAAAGTATGAAAATGGTGGAATATCTCGAAAAAACAGAACTGATCAAAAAACACTTTCAAATATTGAATAGAAAAACTAGAAAAAACAAAATTATGCTCCAATAATTGTAAATGAGTGTTTAAAGGGCTTTATGAAAGTGTTAGATACTAGTTTTTCTACGAGACCGTGCTTTTTTGAGGTACATTTTTGCAGAGTTTCAAATCTGTAGAAAAAAATTGATCGCTCCTAACTCGTGACAAAAGTAGTGGAAACATTTATAATGAAGCTGACGATCTGAGGGGGAAGTAGAAAAATATGTTGGATCGAAGGTATGAAAACACCAAAGTCGGATTCATAACATTGATGTCTGCTTTTCTTGACAAATAGGAAAAATCGGTTTAAGTGATTATAACGCCATCTACCGACAATCCAACAGAAAGCTTAAAACAAATCCTGATGTTTTTTCTCATGGAATCCGAATCTGTTATAAAAAAACAGGGAATTGCCCCCTTCACCGCATGACTGCTATTGAACAGTTTTTTTTATTCAATATCTAAAGGCTGACACCGAGTATTAGGCGTGTAGAATAAGTATCAACTGTTTTAATATATACAAAATCGCTTATATTACATTTTTACAATAAATTAAAGTATAAATAATTTACCAACTAATACACATAAAAATACGCCTAAATCAGTCAAATGAAGATTAGTCGATCCCGAGCTGAAGAAGAAACTGCTTTTCTTTGAACCTGGAAAGAAGATACAGTATTCTAAAGTATGGAAAAAGAATAATTAAACAAAAAAATAGAAAAACTTAAAATATGAACAATTTGAGAGTTTTACAGACATAAAAATTAATAACAAAGTATCAAAACTAATCATTTAAAACAATAACTACAATTAAAGTTGGCCACATCACGGGTAGAGTGACAAACGACATTTTCAAATAAAAAACATCGGAACTTTCAATATAATTCTCAACATTAAGAGATATTCAAAGAATTAAAAGTATAAGCTGTTGATTTAATAATAAAATCAACGTTAGCTTTTGTGCAATACTGCAATAGACATATTAACTTTTGGTAAGTCACTCCTAAAACGTAACTGCACAAGTGTCGCATACTAGTGAGTCATTGGGTTCCGATTTGTCAAAATCAAATCAAAAGTGGAATTCTTACTTTCTTGCAAATTAAGGTAAAAATATTGCTACCGGACTGTTGAAATATCTAATTAAGATTATACACCTATATAGATACACGTCGGCTACATACTTTTCTCATTGGGATCTCTAACTCCGCATAACTTGTACGGTATCTTGGTTTTCCGTTTTTCCTTGATGTAACCGGGAATGTAGAGCGTCGGCGTTTCCAAACGCCCGACCGTTAACAGGTAATTGAAATCTTGTTCCAGCCGATTGGCGATCGGCCCTTTGAAATGAAGCAACAATTGAACGCAAGCGTTATTATGCAGGGTTTTGGTTTTTCTGGTGTCCACCGTCAGGAACCACTCCGGAATCCCCATCACCTCTCGCACGTCCTCTATGAATTGTGCCCTATATAAGAAAGTGTGGAAAAAACAACATTTTTTTGGTTGTGCCCCATTAATATTATGATATTGGGGTAAAAATGAATTTTATCAAAAAATTTACTAATCGTAATATTAAATCCCAAATCAAAATAGAAAATTAAAGCCATATTTAAAATTAAGTTTCAGAAACCTTAGTTGTAGTAGGTTTCTATCTTTTGCAGGTTTATCTTCTTAACATTTTTTTATTGAAATTTTATTATTTACTTTTTCTAGTTCTTTATAATAAGTAATAGTAACAGTAATAACAGAAAAATTTAAATTAAACAAATTGGCATTGGCAACAATAGAAAAAGTGTCCCCTCTAATCTTTGCGATTCTGACGTGGATAGTTACCATGGGCTGAGCAGTTATAAGCATACTTACACCACAAATCTGGGAGGCCTTTCTATATTGGCATACTTTATGATATCATAGTCCGGTTCTATGTTGGCGCATGCGTATCGCTCGCCCTTGCGATCGGGACTCAATATCACTATAGATCTGCCCACCGCAGACACTTCGCCTTCCAGCGGAAAATTGGAATCCACAAATAACTTTCTCTTGAGGCCGATGTCGATAGTGCCCAGCCTTGCTGAGAGGTCGCCGACATAACATCGTAACGGATTTTCCGGTCCGCATTCTTGACGATACAAATCGTGCTACAAATAAACACTACAATGGCACTTGCAAACCCAAATGAATATCACATACATTTGTAGGGTCGGCCAACTGCGTATAAAATGGATTCCACACGTAGCCGCCTGCCACGCATCGAGTCGCTTGGGTTTTAACGGCCGCGTCCACGCCTACTGGATTCACGTAAATGGCCCAATCGTGATCTCTCGTCTATAAGAATTAAATTCCGCTGAAAATTTCTTTATAGGGTCGACAAGTCGATGGTATCAATTTCGTACAAAAGAAATTTAAAATTACTTGCTCAATGTTATATTAAAAAATAATTCCTTTTTCTTGGTTCGTGATATCTTTAAACGTTCCAGCAACACAAAAAAATATTGGAAATTATTTTATAAGTATAGCTCTCTGTATCTCGGAAACATATGTATATCTGGGCCACTATGAAAAAAGGGAGGGGAAGGGCTATTCAATATAGGCATGGCATTTCAGTTTGAATATGATTTTTCTAAATCAAAATATGCCTAGATTCAGTAAAGTTTAGTAAGAAAACAGCACAGGTGAGTGCAAAAATTTACAGACGGAAAATAACATTGTTGCTTCAGGCATATCAATTTTTAACATCCTCACTACCACTATGATATCTTAATTATCTAATAGTGATAGGCATTAAACTAGTACTCCTTGTAGAAAGGATAATTACCACATTACGGTCGTTTATTCCTGGATGACGTAGTTTCACTTCTATGGTGGTGTCACTGTGGCTGCCGTCATTATAAATAAGTTGTCTCTGAAAAACTTAAATGTAATAGGATAAGTCTTTTTCACTATTTGGGCGTTTACCATTTTCATGTACCCATATGCATATCCCAGTGGGTGATGGAACGACGCTATTGCTCTTATTTCGCGTGCCTCCGAAGGACTGTAGCCCCTTTCAATAGTCGAACATGCCCATCTTTTGTTGCCGATCTTCAAAAATAAACTATAATGTCCGCCCAAAGTTGACAATTCAACAAAATGTGATATGTATGTGTAAATTACGAGAAGAAGAATAACATGTTAAGATTGTTATTAAATAAAAAATATTATTTTTTTTTGTTTTTTTTTGTATAGCAAAAAATGTGCTTAAATCAAATTATAATCAAAACAGTAATTAATATTAATGTACAAGGTCAAACGTAAAAAAAAGAACAATATTATATCATTTTCTATCTCAGGCAACAATACAAACATTAAAATATAAATTAGATCATGATATTTATTACTGGTACCAGTTGCCCTTTCATAGACTCTGTTAACCATTTAAAAATTTCGTAAATCATCATAAAATTTGAAATTAAAGGAGCTGATTGGTATTTTAAATATTCAGTATCCAGTGTGTCGTGTTTTTAATGTCATTTTTTGAAATTAAAATAATAATTAATAAATATTATGACGGATTGACCCATAAAAAAAAGACATTATTTAAAATATTCCATAAAAAAAATTAGTTTATATATCAAATTTTGTTGAGGAGTTTCAGAAGAAAACATAACCGAACTACATAGTGTGTCTAAAAATGCAATATTTTCAAAATCATCCTGTATTTAAAAATCCAAGCTCGTTATGACATTTCTGTTTGTGCTACATTCGATTTAATCAAAAACCAGCCTCAGATCATGAAAAACGTAACGCGGTAAAATGGGACAGACTGTACAGTATGTAAAAAATGAAACCACATGAATTTAACAAATGCTACCTGGGGCATATTTGAGTTGAAACCACCACCGTATATTTTTTCTACGACTAACTAAGACAAGAAAACTATTTCTGGATCAGTTCCAAAATGCAACAATTTTTAGAAAAATAAGTGGAATTCATAGAATGGACAACTTACTTTTTTATGAATTATTATCGACCTGCCGAGTATGCTCCTGGGTCCGAACAACGGTAACATGGTGTCATTGTAGGATGTTTTGTAAATGGTATAATTGTCCAAGCTCCCAAATTTTCCGCTCAAATCGCCCATTTCGTACTGATCGGGCGTGCCATGATATCTGGTCGGCGACGATATCGGATCCACATTTAGAGGATTCCAATGTCCATATAAGGAAGTGGCTTCACAAGGAAATTCCAAGTTTTCTTCCACCGGAGTCTAATATTAAAGGCCGATGTATAATTGCAAGGTTTTTTTGCTCTATTAGTTGATAACCTACCACGTGGATATGGTATCCGCTGTTATCCTGCAGCCCTTCTAAGCCAACTTCAACGTCGGTAATGTCGTATTCTGTTTGCTGAAAGAATTCGATTTTTCCTTTCGCTGTCAATTCCCCACCATTCGGAAACCAATCTCGGGCGACCGCTTTTCTGCGATATACCCCGCCAATACTGAAATCGTTGAAATTCATTTAAAAAAATAAATAAATAGCGCAGCGCTTATTATTCCTACATCGAACAAGCCAATCTTTCGCCCCTGGCTTTAGGCCCAAAATCATCATACAACACAAACGACTTTCCTAACACGCTATGATGACCGGTCAATGGCAACTGCGTAGCGGTCCACATTTTTCTCGAAATTCTGTCACTATCCGCGATATTTCCGGAAATTTCCAGAGTTCCCATTCGCTTTGATAAGTCTCCAACACGACAAAGCCCGATGGCGTCCAAACTGCATTGTTCTACTTTCGATGTATTGTCGTAATCGATCTAGAAGTAATTGTAAAATGTACTGATAGATTTTTGTCCAAGTGAAAACGGGTGTACTTTGGCCAATTGATTTTTGAAAGATTTTTTAAACCAGTTATAATGCAATAATAAGTAGACAGCTTCTAATTAGTACGTCAGTTTTATTATGGGAAAAATGATTTTAGTAAAATATAGCACTCAAATTTGATTTTAAAACCAACTGAGTTTCGTATTTTAGTCTGGATTAATTTCATCCCCGAAAACCGAATATTGAAATGAAGTTTACAGGATGTGTCCAAGCTTCTGTATTTTTTTACCAATACAGGATCTCTAGAAATGCTGGGCTGGGCTGTTTCTACTCGAAAAATTAATATTAAGGTTCATAACGTATTTTTTTGAAAGTTCAAAGATAACGGGGTGTCAAAAAAAATGTTTAAAAACTTTGTTTATCTTGCCGATTAACTTTAAATTTAACGCACCTATTACTAACCTAATTTTGAATTTTTAGATAAAATTTGATGCAAAGCCTTCAATGACAAAGCTGTCCTTAAAGAAATGCTTAAATGCTCTCACACATTTAAGTTTACAGTTTTATGGAAATTTAAACGCTCACAATTAAAGACCATTAAAAAAACTTTGGAACATATTCTCTTATTACGCCACAATAAAATGATACCTCTCCAAGAAAATCGCCGTTTTTCATTTCCATGCTCTCATTGATTTAAGCTTTAGTGTTAATTTAGTTAATAGCTAATAGTTATTAACAGTTTTTATCAAATGAATATTCTTACAAAAAAATTTATGCATTTTTTTTTTATATTATCTCCTACTCCTTCTAATTAAATATGGTATAACCAAGAAGCAACTAATTTCTGAAAATGAGAAAAAAATTAAATTGTTTTAACCAAAAGGAAATTGCTACTACAAAGTTTTACTTTTTGGTTACCTATGTACCTTGAATGGGTTGTACACATCTCCTGCGCTTAAACATCTTCCTGTCCAATTATAAAAATCTTTGCCGGGTGGAAGCTCGTGGATCGCCCACCGATGATCAGCCGAATTATTCAAAGTGGCACCGTCTGCATGCACCAAGTACTCAATTAAAATGGAGGTATCCGTCCATGGTTCGTCCTTAACTTGCCTCATTAACAATCTACCGACCGTGGGATACCTGAATACCACTTGGGCGGTAAAGATTTGCTTCTGATATTTGAAATCAGGTTCGTATAGTGCAATACCACCGCAAATCCAAGGTTCCGCTACCGATTCGGATGTTGGATAGGTCGTACTCCTGAAAAATGATACGTCGGTATTGTGCAAGAATATATGAGTTGAAAAAGGAAAACTGGTACTAACTTGTAGATGACCAAAGATCTATGAACGACCGAATGGCTGCCACTCAGTGGCAAATATATGTCCCAAAATGTACCGTTCAATTCCTGACCTCCTGGGACTAACACTGAAGCATTATTCCTATTTAGAAGTTTTCCCGATAAGTCACCAATTGCGTACTGATTCTGCGTTCCATACCCTTGAAAAATAATTGCCGTATGCCGACTTTTCGAGTCAGTCGTTTCTTACCGCTTGGTGGTGTGGTGCTCATGTCGATCTTGAGAGGATTGTAGACGTATTTGGTCGTCAAACAAGAGTTTACATTTTGTCCGACCGTTTTTGCGGGTTTGATAGGCAATTCGTGGATTTTGTACGCAGCAACTGTCGAACTATAGACGATCCTCGTTTCCAGATCACCTCGAGCAGTGGTTAGATTGAAATTAAGGAAAGTTGGTTCGAATCTATTGTGTTGAATCATCGTAATGTCACCTTTAATGCCGCCTGACTGTATAATTACTCTGAAGCCAAAAATAGAAGGATATATGAATAAATATCGGTTATCCGCAATTTTTTGCGTAAAAATTTATTATTTATTATATTTATTATTATTAGCATCGAAACTACTTTCCTGGTACCATCCTGGTACTCCTTATTTATGCCGAGATATGAATCATATTAAAAATTTGGAACATTTCATTTGCAAGTAATATGTAATATTTAAATAATTTAGTAATAATGTGTTGAATAGGGCAGCATGTTATTGTCAAAAATGAAAGAAATGCTAAGAAATCGGGAATTTTAGAAAATTTATTCATTTTTACAAGAATGTTTTATATATATTTTATGGATTTGACGATGCCTGTGCGGGCGAAAGAAGTTAATAATTATTTTTTAAACTTTGACTTAGGATTGTGTTTAAATTTTAATTTTGCGAAACCATGTCTCTTCCAGGGAGGGCGAATTGCTTTATTTTAGGCAGGGTACAGATACCAGAGTATACTGGGACCAATTTTATTCATTTTTTATTTGAACAACCTACCAATGGCTATAAATAGCCTTTTGATCACAAGCTATGCGGAAGACACAAACATCCTAACACCTGGAGAAAACACATCCGAGGTAATAAATAAAACCAAAAATTCATTTGATTAAATAAAATTATAGTTTATGCAATACAAATTTCTTGGGAATTCATAAAAAAACTATCTGGACTGGTACCCTCATATACAAACTCTTTGCACAAGATTAAACAGGGTAGGTTATGCTATTAGAATAATCAAAAATTAAAGAAAAAGGACTGATGCAGAGGAGCTTAAAGCAATTGCAAATAATGAGTGTTTATACATACTTACGAATGTCTAATGTTTATATTCAAAATATTTTATTAATTAATATCGTATATTCAATAAAATTATAACTCATATACCAAATTGTGTGGAATGTATTAACACAATCTTAAGCAGCCAGAAACAAAACATGCATAAAAGAATGACACCCATACCTAATAACGTATAATTATTACAAATTTTTTATACTGCGCCCAACATTGATTCTCAACATTTTTCAAACTATCCAGAAAGTAAGGAGTTTTTTTTAACGTAATTTATTTTGTAATATTAAAATCCAACAATTTAGAAAGCAAAAATATTCATGAACAATACGAATAAAATTACTTATTTCTAGTTATTGCGTTTTCTAGCAAATTATACTATTTAAAAGATTCACAAATCTTTAATTAGGATTTCAGTAATTACAAAGTTTTCAACATTCAGCTCAAGTTTTCAAGTCAAGAGTTTAAAAGTTGCAAAATTAATCTTATTATAACATTAAAATAATAATTTGCTTGTTTTATTAAGGAAAGTGTGTATATTATAAAATAAATATTGGACAGTGTAAATAATAAATATTACAAAATTTAGGAATCGTTTTTTTTTCAGTAGTAATTGCAAATTGCAAATTGCGCGTAGCGTATACCTAACTAATGATCAACTTACCTCGCATGTACAGGGTGTTCGTAACGAATTTTCGCGCACGCCAAAAACACGTCCTGGTGCTTTTTTTCAAACAGAACGAGATACAAACGTCTGTGTGGACCAGTTAGATCACTCGGGAGCAATATTACTTCGCTGTCCCTGAACATAGTTTTATATTTGCTCTTGTTGTAATTGGTCGAAACTTTTAACTTTCCCAATCTCGAATCGACGTCGCCAAGAGCTTTACCTGGACCATTGTTCTGCGGGTCAAAAACCAACTGTAAAATATTACAGTTGTCCTCCGACCTGTCGGTGTCGTCAAATATATCCGTCGCATAGATTTTCCAACCGTGTTCCGTAAACTCTAAATATTTGTCGTACTTTTCTTTTCTTTTAACGTGGTATAAGTCGGCGGTTATCAACATGTCGCTGTGATTATCTTTGGTTGAAAACCATCTAAAGTACACGTTTCCAGCGACGGGCGCGTTGAATCTGGCAACCGCTATCTTCTCTTTGGTTTTGTCTACCATGGTCATCGACGCGCAAATCCTTCTGTTGGTTTCCACTTCTTCTAGCAAAAGTGTCTTGCCATATATTCCCGAGTCCCCGTAAATTTTTATTTCGTCTGTAATCAGTTCGACGGTGTTGTTGTCAGGGATGACCAGATATCCAAATATGTCATCCAATCCGAGCAGACTTTTTCCCAGTTTTTCGGGGGAACAACGATTGTCAATCTCAGTGTAGTCTACAGGGAACTCGGTTATCGTCCAGGACCATACTTGACTAGGATATTCGAGCGTCGCCGCCAGATCTGTCGTGACTTTGACCTGATCCTTTATTTTAGTGAACGTAATCGTTCCATGGAGGCCATATTCTGATATATAACTTCTTAATTCTATGGAGGTAGATGTTGTTATGGCTGAAACGGAAATGTAAGCTCAGAAAAAGTGTTGCTTTCAGCAACAGCGGTTAAATCAAATTGGTTAGTTAGCAACTGCTGTTTCAAAGATGGTCTAAAAATTGTTGTTTGATGACTCTGACTGAAAAACCTCCGAAAAAAACTATTTTTTTATAAAGCTTTGAACATAAATTAACCAACTAATATCAGTTTTACTTCTCGCTATTTTCCGTACGATATTAATTTGATACGATTTTTACAATATTTGGTAAAGTCTGTTCATAGATATAAGAAAGTGACTAACTGATACGAATAAAGGGAAGATCCGGGCAAGCTGTAAGAATGAAATATGGCCGAACAGGTCCGTACTTTGCTTAGAATTTAATTATTTGGGGTTTTGTTAGGATAGATACTAAACAATATTTATTTATTTATGTATGTATTTATCTTTAAATCTAAAATAAAATTACAAATTATTTTTATTACGTACTTAAATTACTTAAAATTATTCACATAATATATCAGTATCAGTATCGCTATCATCGCCTGTTCTAATTATTATTTGTTCTATATTATTTGCAATATGGATATAGGATTGTTCTGCTTGTTTCTATATGTTTAACAGAATTTGCCCAACTTTGTGGAGGGATGTTAAAAACTTCGGTTTCTATAAGTTTGAGGACATTGGAGTTAACATGTTGAAAAACATTGTTACGACGAATGGCAGATTTCAGTTGGTGCCAAACATGTTCAATGGGTTTAAATATACAGTGGTAAGGTGGAAGCCTTAAAACTGTATGCCCTAGATTTTTTGAATAATTATCACAGACGTATTCCTTTTGTAGGTTCAAGCTTTGTAGAACCTCAATTAATTGCTTTTTGATATAATTTTCGTGAAAATAAATGTCGTTATTATACATGTAGTTTTGGATTGTTGCTTTTGTGTCACATGAGGAAGGGGTTTTAGTCCACTGTCTAGTGTGATCACTTGCATTGTCCATTACAATTACGCTATTAGGAGGAATGTTTGGAACTAGTTTGTTTTTAAACCAACTTTCAAATGAATCAACGGTGGTGTCTTCATGGTAATCCAGAGAAGAATCTTTAATATTTTTCGCAGACAGGGAAAGTCAATTTGGAATCCAACCATCTTTAGAGCCAGCATGCAAAATAGTTATTCTTTTATCTCTTTTTGATGGCGCGTTTGTTTTACACTTATCAGTTGAGTCAACCCAATCCTTTTCCGAGATATCATAAGTGTCGAACCAGGTTTCATCCAAGTAAATAATTGGCCTTTGTTGTTCTCTGTAAATCCTAATTTTTTCAAGATATTCCAGTCGCCATTTCCGAATTCTAAAAGATTCCATTAAAACTTGCCTTTTGTCAATTTTTTTAAATCTAAAACCCATGTGTTGAATACACTTCCATAAGGTAGTTCTGCCACATTTAACACCAGTCTCATCTTTTTCAAGCCTCCTAATTAAGATATCTAATGTAGGCACGCTTTGTTTTGCGTATAACTCGTAAATTTTACGCCATATTATATGTTGATCACTTTCATCTACACTCGAGAAAATTTTTCATACAGTTGATGTTGGAATTTTCGTCAATGTGGCTGTTTCTTCTAAAGATGCTTGCTTGCCACCACGTTCAATGAGAGTCAAATAAACATTGTTTAAAACTTCTTTAGTCTCAATAGAATGATGCTTTCTACATTTGGGGCCGGAGCATCTCCTGATATACACTAGACTCGCACATATTTTGCATAATTCGCACACGATGCAACACACGCTGTACACGAAATGAGAATTATTACTAATAAACTTAAACTAAGTAGTATACCAAAACAAAGAATATTAAACACAGATATAAAATTATTTTCTTATACGGACCAAAATTTCACCTGAATTTAAATTCCGAAACTTTAGGTGATAATCTTATTGCATTGTATGTTAATGACCACCCTTGGATAACCCCATTCAAAAGCAATTGGTAACTTTCTTATATCTATGAACAGACCATAACCTAATTCCCATCTTATATATTGGTATATCCTTTCCGATTTATTGTTACTAAGTACTTCTTTAAAAGTTTCAGTATTCTGCCTATATGTAAGTAGACATTTGATTGCACAATATCTATCTATCCAAAGTTAGTAATCTTTTTGGATCAGTTTACATGAAGGATATTATAACAAAATGCCTTAGAATAAGTTTATTCAAAAATTTAAAAATGTTACCCCAGAATTTCGTTAAAATATACAATGTAGTAAATATTGTCACTCAACAATGACCGGAAAATAGACCTTTATGCAATAATTCGCGCAAGGTTCAAGAGAAAGTTGAAACAAATAACTGTGCTACCAAAATCCAATTGCCAGTTAAGCCGGAATGCATGGTGGTGGTTGGTGATGACAACGACTCGTAGACTAGAAATTTTTAATTTATTATTAATCTCTCAATTGTTTAATTATGTTATCTGTAGAAAGATAATTATGTTACATACAGGATGTTATTGAAATGAATCTCAATGTCAAATTCTCAAATTGAAAAACTACTCGCTATAATGGTGTGCTCCAAAGATTTGGTAAAATATGCTGGATGTTGCGAACTTATTAATTTAGGTAACACTACAAAAAGTTCCGTATTAATTGTTAGCATATAAATCCCAAATCTCAAATTCAATTTCGTAGTGAGATGACCAGTTGCGACCATAGTCGTCCTGTTGGGCCGGATGGGTTGGAACAAAATATCGCTTCAGCATAAGAATAATAACACCCTTATTACACTGTCTTCAAAAATTACATCAGTGTAGTATAAGCTAAGAATAATAATTAAATACGTAAATATAGAACATAATGAGATTTTATTTGATAAAGTTCAACAGAATTTGTTCTCAATTAAATTCAAAGGGGGTAGGAAATGTAATATGTATTTTTAACCCCACTAATAAATACACTCTCACAATTACTCAATTAAATCAAAAAATTGTATCAATAAAACGGTATTTTAATTTCTCAACAAATAAATGTCGCGGGAAATACAAGAAAGAATCACGCTAACACTATTTCTTAATTGCCATTTTTTGGACACCTCAAGTACGTGCATGAGGTTCGTTGCCTAACCTCATGTCCATATCTCCAAAACATATAGAATTTAATTGTAAAAGTTGAAGGACTCAAAACTGAAAATTCAATTATCCAAATACACTTCTCTCTAAAATTATAGCAGCTGTGATTATTCATATTACAAATAAACCTTGAGGCGACAGACCGAAACTATATTAGCCTTTAAGCGAATATAACAGACAACACGCGTATACACAATACTAGAAAAGGTGACATGCGGAAAATGGTCTTACCTAGCCAACATAATAAACACACAAAAGTAAACGATCCGGTTTCCATTTGATTTGATTAGTTTTCGCTTTCCTATATCACAACAAATGTATCACTTATGTCGTTTTCTAAATCACATCTTGCGAGTGTGTGCACTCTCGATTCCGGCCTCATTCAACACTAACTGGACAAGAATAAGTGAAACCACTATTCGCAGTTTCAATACGACCATGTGCGATGCGCGGCGTTGCTAGTGGTTCGAACGAAAAACCTTCATATGCGTGCATTATGATTTGAACGTTTAACGGTTATTAGGCTTACCGAAACATACTTACTATAGAGATACTCGTTTTGAAATTGATGAAGAAAATAAATTAGGAATATCTTATTCTGGGCATTTAAATGCCCAAACACAAAATAATCAGCCTCAGTCAAAAACAATTTTTCATATCCTGTTATAGCTGTCAAAAAAATAAATAAATCATTTATTAGGTATTGTTATTATTGTGTCGCCCTCTAAGTGTCCCAAAAAAACTGAAAATATAAACAAAAATCAGTATATAACGGAAAACGATTTTTTTTGTATGGATTACTCTTATATTCCGCGTAAACTTATAAGCAAAATTCATATAACAACATATCATAAAAAAATAAAGTTTTTGTGCTTCCCTGTATAATGATCATTTTTTCAATTTGGTTTCTAGATAGAAAAGGAGGTATTTTTATATATAACTTTTTAGTTAATTTTGGTTAATTAAAACCCAAATAAAAAAGTTAAGTGGAGATGGAGCGCATTGTAGGCGACCACCCGGTACATAACTATAAGTGGATGACAATTTTTTTCTTAATTTTTCAAAGAAACTAACACAGGCTACTGTAATGCTTTTTACAAAACTTCTGGATTCCTCCTGCGTCGGTTTTTGCAAACTCTGAAGAAGCCAACAGGATGATTGGGTAAACGTCAGCAATTTCGACTAAGCAAAAACCGACGCAGGAGAAATCCAGAAGTTTTGTAAAAAGCAACTTTTTCTTACTTATTCTCGCAGTTAAAGCGTAAGAGCCGCAATTTGTTGGGTGTACTAAACTTCCGAACTTTTGGTAAATTTTTTCTTTTTGTTAATTTTTTCCTTATAATAATCGTTAATTAATCATTCTTTCGTTATACCTTTTTAAGTTCAATATTTGTTGCCCTGTAATGTGAAATTGACGAGATTTTATCAGCTTGGGGTTGATAAATTGATGGGTGAAATATAGTAGTTCAAAAAGTAACTAAATAAAATTAGCTATATCCAGGTTTCCAGCGATACTAAGAAAAATGTAATTAAATGAACAATAACAGTATTAAACGCAGGATAACTTTTTTTTTCTTTTGTAAATTTAAAATGTTAATTTTGGAATTTTAATTGCACAATTAATCAATTACAAAAGAAAAGGCACCAATGTTGTTGTTGTCATAAAGGAGTTAATGTAGTTTGTGATGTTAAAAATACACATGATAATTTATTATGATTACCATTGTTATAGATAATTAACTATTAATATAATTAGGATCATATTATTGATTATGTATATTAGGAAGCGCTTCAGTTAACCAGAGAAATGTGCTCGTTTTGTCCACAGTTAACCAAGCCAGTGTTAGACAGTGATAATTTTTGCTGTTATTGACAACGCTGCGACAACGGAGAGCGAGCGGGAATGTGACGATGCAAACACAATACAAAATATAGCAACGGTTCTTACCTGGGTTGTTGGCTGCCTCAATGAGTGTATATACCTGTCGAATACTAGGCTAAAGGTAAATTATTGCATGCAGATCCGGCTAGATGGAAGCAAAATTTTGATGGAAAAACATATTCATTTTTTATTGTAATGTTTACGCAGTTTTTGTTGATCCATTTACCTCTCTACTTTCCACCAACAGCACTGCAGTTGTAGTAGTATTTAAAGTTCAAAGCAAAACAAAACCAATTACTTTTTACCAAAAACCGCAGAATACTTATAATATCAATGCAATCAATTATTTCCGCAATTTTAGTATACGATTTTTTGCAATGTTTTGGTAACTTTCTACTAAGAACCCTGCTCGAAGAAAAATTTTCGGATTTTAATTTGGACACGACAGTGATTCGGCATTAAAATTTCACGCCAAAACCGTTTGAAAATAGAAAAATCACTACTTTTATTATAGCCGTAAAGACGGAAATTATTATTAGTCCTGCGGGTAGGGTAGGGAGATTTCAGATAAAACACATGCCTTACCATGACAAAAATTTTTTTTTTGATTGTTAAAAGCTATTGGTGTGAAATTTTCTTTGAGACCTACTCCAAAACTTTATTTCCAAATCTTGATAAAGAATTGCTTACTTTAATTTCCTGTAGTTTATAATGAAAAGAGCTTATATATGATTACAAATTGATCTCTGCTTTTATAATATTCATAAACATATATTTTAAAGTTAAAAAGAACAAATAATGCCAAGACCAAAATTTTAAGTTTGTGAGTTAAAACATAATCAGCCATTTCGTCCTTTGTTTTTCGTCACTTCAAAACATAGGAGAAAATATTGCAATCAATAAACCACCCAAAAATCTGCGGAAAAGTTTATCGGCTACGAAAAAATCAATAATTGTGTTTAATTTATACAGAATCCGACCCTGGTTGGACCAGTCCTATTCAAGTATGGGCATAGCAATCTACCAAATATTTTGTAGCATTTATGCGAGCTTCGGCTTGATTTTTAAGTCCCTTTGTGTGCGTGCTTTGTCATTAGCCTTCAAACCGGAAAAATAAGGCCTTTATATACAAGAAGCCCCTTAAAAGCGGCGAAATACCACCATGTCTGGGCATAGGGAATTCTTTTATTTCGGCAAATCCAAGACAAATTTGCAGATGCAGCAGTAATTATGATTATTTCGCTTTCCGTTTTTTTAAAGTTTGCAGATTTTTGAGGCAATGCCAATTAAGATAAAAAAAATTTTTAAGTAATTATTTTCAAAACGCAACCTATATTAAATACTGAATCAGAACAAAACCCCCATTTTTTTCGGTTTAAAATCGCCCCTAAGAAAATAATTTGATGATGTGTGCCCGAAAAAGATCTTTGTCATGACGTTAGAAAAAAATAAGAATCTTTTAGCAAAATTAATTAATATAAAAAACTCAAATCTACTATTGAGCTTATAATCGAACTGAAGTATTAAATTTTTAATATTATAACCATAAGAACATTTTAAAAGTTTCTCATTGTTTGAATTTGCATAAATTGGAATTAGCAATCGATTTGTGCAATTTATTATTTATTATTAGAAAAGACATCGCTAATACAGGCAATACATCATATTCTGCCGTAGTGTTGGTTGCGGACAACAGTGCCTAAAGGTTTTATTTGGTCTTTAAATAGTATATTTACCTCACATATTATTTGAATTAATGCCATCAGTACGAAATGACGATTACCCATGGTTGCCTATAATGTGTCATCAAACCGTCCTTTTTTAAGTCGAATTTTTACAATTTGAATTTGGCGGTAAAACGGCGCAGTCGCTGTTGTGTTAAATTTCGAAACGAAGGAAGTCCACCATTTTCTTTTTACCACACCGGTGTTCCAGCACGTGTGGTTATTAGCAATTTAGAACAAATACCATTTTATTTTAAAGACAAGTGAATAGTAACATTGTTTTCAAATTATTACGCGTTTGACATCACAAAATATCTTCTCGATATGAATATCGAAAAATTGAAGAAACTGCAGAGCCAGTCTTCCGCAGTACGAATTGGAGGCAAGGGAACACCAAGGCGCAAGAAGAAGGTAGTGCATTCGACTCAAGCGACTGACGACAAGAAATTACAGTCTTCTTTAAAAAAACTGTCTGTAAATACAATTCCTGGAATCGAGGAGGTGAATATGATAAAAGACGACGGATCTGTAATCCACTTCAATAACCCAAAAACACAAGCTTCCTTAGCTGCAAACACTTTTGCTATTACCGGACACGGGGAAAACAAACAAATCACGGATATGCTGCCAGGTATTTTGAGCCAGTTGGGTCCTGAAGGAATTACTCAGTTGAAACGCTTGGCAAACTCTGTAGCCAATGCAGGGGGTATCAATAAAATTGTCCCCGAAGACGAGGAAGACGTTCCAGACTTGGTAGAGAACTTTGATGAAGCCTCTAAGGCCGAAGTTGCCAAAAAGGATGAAGCCAAAACTGAAGAAAAGTTGAAAGAAACTTTGGATTAAACTGAAAGGTTTCTTTTGCCATGTGGTTTAAAATTTCTTAGATTTTGGACCTAATCTTATTAGATCATGAAATATTTATACTGTTTTAAGGATTTACCATAAAAAATTTTCGTTAAAAGATAGAATAAACATGTTATTCATATTTCTTAGGAAATATATGGATGTGTTTCATATTTTCGCATTATTTTCATTAATAACTGGTAAATAATCCTGATCGATTTGTAGAATTTTGATATGTTGTAACCTTTATTGTCTGGTTTATTAAAAAGTACCAAAAACATTGGACACTCTTTTTCAAGCATAATTTTAATTTTATATAAAAAATTGATCGCTATAATAAAACACTTTGTTTAATTGGTTTATTACATATTTAAATTAATAACAAAATACAAAATATGCCTGAGCTTCCAATTGGTGCTTATATAAAATACATACTTTAACCTTACCACTTGTGTACAAGTATAACAGCGGCAAAATGTGCACATGTGCTTCTAAAAAATATAATATATGTAGATACTTTTTCTTTTCTATAAACAAAAACTGACCCTCTTTTGTGACTAAAACAAAGTCTTACTCTAAGTCACACATGATATTCTCCAAAGGTTAGTTCTCCTTTATCTCTTTGATCTTTGGGTTGTCCTTATTGTCTCTATAAATGACATAGTTTAATGTCGTAGCTACACTTAGCCATAGGCAATATGGCACAATAAGCAGGCCTGCAATGGGATTTATTCTATGAAATAAAAAGGCTGTTGCAACTGCTGTTGCGTTTACAAGTTGCATTTCAATCAATGCCTAAAAACAAATATAAAGTTATTATAAAACATGAAAACCATTACATTTTTAGATAATTAAATATATTCATTATTATTGTTAAATATTTTCATACTCACCAACTTAATGTCCCTAGCTCCAAAGAAGATTGGTGTCCATGCCCAATTAAATAACAAATTACTACCATAAACAACTAATGGTAATCTTGCAGCACCTGCAAACAATTTTTTTTATCAATTTTTTATGCTATGTTCATGAAATTACCCTCAAAACCGCCACCATCTCTCCATACCAAATAGGAAGCATATCCCATTCCAGTGTACAATGAGGTCCATACAGGTGCAAAAGCCCAATTTGGTGGCCTCCAATCAGGTCGCTTTAAATTTTCATACCAGGATTTTATAGCCCTTTTTGTAATAATTCCACCCGCTATCCCTCCAACATGGGGCAACGCGACGGCCCCGACGGCAGGCCAATTAATTTGAACAGGCATTTTAAAATAGGGCTATATAAGTATTTAAGTCTTTAGGCTCCCACAATTAAATGTTTAAGTTTCAGAGTTGCTACACGATAAGATTTAAAAACTGCGAACCCCACCCGGCAATTTTGCGTATCAGGCAGCAGCAATATTAGATTATTAGCAGGCATAAACTGTATAAGACAAAAATCCTCTATCACACACTACACACCTGTGGTTGTTAGATCTATGACACAACAAACACACTACACCACAGATGGTAGGTCAACCCACAGAAAAAAAAGTTGTTTCTATAGAAACAATTACCGCATCTAATAAAGTAACAATTAAAATTACATTTGGTTTTCCAAACAGAACGGGCAAATTTCAAATAAACCTGCTGATTTTCAACCCAATTGATTTTAACATGTTATTTGTCAGTTTGTTTCTAGCATTATATACAAACGCACTTTAAAAGTTGCACTTGAAACCCTTTTAAACATTTAACATGAAAATGATATAAATTGAATCAAAATCGACTAATAAGGTTTAAACATTACTGATGACCTTTAATGCAACTAAATCAACCAGATAAAAGTAAAAGGTCCAAATTGTTTTAGAGTTGGATTGGAAATTTATATAAGCGCTGCATTCCAATGGAAATGTAATGTAAACTAAACTGTTATTCAAACATCACATGCCACTTGTTTGGAGGAGTCACTGCTGCAGCGGATTTACTTATCCTAGATACTTACAGCACTTACATTGCTATGGCAAAGCCCATTATATAATAATTTAAATGTGTACTTTTTCTTTGCTTATTTCTTATATCATCAAAGAATATTCTACCCAATAACAAAGTCTTATTATTTATTTGATACAATTTATTTTTTATCACTGGTTATAGGTAATATGATATGCGATTTCCACATACGTTTTTTCCGAGAAACAGCCCACGCTTTCTTCTGCATTTCCTTTTGCAATAAATATTGCAAATGCTTGATTCTTTCAGCTTTCGCCGAAATTGGCGGGATTATTATTCCAGTTTCCTGACATCTATGTCCGTCGAGGTCCATATCAAAATTTATGTAAGATTCCTGGCACAAAAAAAATGTTGCGCCTAAAACGGAATTATTGTATTTACATTAATAGGTACACTTCATACCAGTGCGTTTTCGACTATGTCCATCGAAGGATTGGGTATATCATATTGTTCCCGACAAAACAAACTAAACTCCTCCTTCAATCTTTTAGTAATTCCGTGACGAATATCCGCACATGTCTTAAAATCTTCTCGATACTTCAGTACCCTTTCCTGCTGCACAATTAAACTTTGTTGAGCTTCATGTAGTTGACAAGTTTGTTCAGCAAAACTTTTAAAAGGAAAACCATTCTCATCAAATTCATCTAGGTTGCATCGTTTGCTAAAAGTTTGAGCCTGAATAGGATAATGAAATATTTAAATTTTTATGTCTTTATCGCCACGCTTTTCCTTACAGTTATTAACTCAATAATGCACTTATCCACATGACTTTTCAATTTTTGCATCTTCTTTACTTCATCTAAGAAGATGCGATACGAGTCGTGAATGTAAGTTTCATTCCTCTTGTACTCTTCCAACGTCTCACGGTAGCAACTTGATTGTGAGGAAAAGATCTTCCACATATCTTCAACATCACAGACTTTTTCAGGACTACTTGGATACGAATTCCTATAACTGCTTGTTGAATCATATTTGCCCACCGATTCTAGGCTAGGTCTATTTTTATCTTGAGATGGTGTCTGTTGCGTTGTGTTTATTAGAGTTTGGGAAAATGAGACATCGGTTGATGCTGGAAATAAAACTTAACAGAGTTAAGCTAATCAACACTGAACTTCGTTATCACCGTTCCCAGACGATCGAAGGTCATTAGTTGCGCTACCTTTGGATTTTCTGGACATTTTCTTACTTGAAACTTTAGTTCCCTTTAACATATGTTTTACATCTTTACTGTTGTGTCCAATTACGGAATTTGACAGACAGTTAACTTACCGACTCAATCTGCGAACCTTGCTCCTGCTGGAGCATTTCCTGCTTCAAGGAAGCCTCCGATCGTGATGATGTCGCCTCGCGCAACTGTTTGATTTCATTTTCATACTGCTGACACAATTCTCGTAATTTTTTAAGTGCTACAGCAGCGTCGGCCACGTTCATTAAAGTGATTTCGTTAATATTATTTTTCAAAAATTCTTCAATAGTTCGGTCGATGTGGAATATATTCTCTTCGTTCAGAGCACCCGTCAAGTCTTCATTAAGTAATTCTGGATTTAAATGTGCCTCCTATATAAATGGTCGAAATGTCAAAATAAAATTTTCCAAAACAACCATCTATGGCCTACATTTAAATAATGCATTTTTAATTCCCCGTTGTTGACGTATTTCCTTTGCGGTTTCAAACCCATCACTAAATTACCAAACCGAAGCGTGGAGATTGTCAATTTTAAGTCCTGCTTTGAGGTTTTAATGTGGCCTATAAATCTAAAATATTTAAAATTCATGTAGCAAATTAAATCAATATTGCATATAACATATTATACTTTACATAGGTAACATGTGATACCAGGGTAACATACCCACCCCTCTAACATGTTATACATTTTTGAAATCAACGTAAAATGACCTTTCTTTTTATGAAATAATAAAATGTAAAATAAAAAAGTTAGGATGGGGGGTCCATTATCAATGTACCCCCCATTGATAATGGACCACCCGTCATAGCCTAGAAGTTCTATGCATGTAACGAAATTATACTGACAAATAATGTTAACAAAAAAAGGTTGATTTCGAAGTTTAAAGTTTAAGGGACTTGATGAAATGCTTTAAAATTAGAAAATATGAGACCAAAAAAGACTTAAGAATTTAAAAGCGTTCTTTTCGTGAGTTTCACACCTTGAAGATAGAAAACAAAATATTTCTGCACTATTATAACTACCTACCTTAACATATTGTTGTTACTTAAATCCCCATCTAAGTAATATAACAGGCAATGCGATCTATATTTGAGTTTTACAGAGTGTTGCGTATTTTCTCGGAGACAAATAACAAATTGTTCCAAATTGGATTTTGTTACGTTTGCACCGCCAATTTGGTTTGATCTTTTACTGAAACGGCCCCTGTTTGCGGCATAATCGTTTCCAGCTAAATCAATAATATGCAACTAAAGTAGGAACAATCATGACATTTTCACAAAATTAATTAATATACGCATTAACTTAACCCTTGATATCAGTTCTCGAGGATCCGTTAAATCCGAATTTTTTAGAGTAACGTGAAAAGTTACAACACTAGTGTAAATATTCGACAGGTACCCTTCACAATTTTCGGCAAACGTTTTCCTCCCTTCCGCTGAAATATTTATTCAAATCAGATGTTCCGAAAATAGAGGGAAATATTACCAATAAAAATATATTTGAGGGCCTCATATTCTGTGGAAATTTTGATTTTAGTTGCGTCTTTTGTTTTATAAAGGTTAACTATATTGGGTACTTCTTTTAAAAGGTCGACTGCAAATTTACCATCAAATTCCAAACAAGAGATGTATATCGACATTTTAGCATTTTTTGGTTGCAGACTTTTTATGTAAAATAGGTGTTTTACAGCTCTCGGCAAAATTCCAAAATCCTAGAAAATTATATACTCATATTATGGCAAACCGGACTTAACTCATGACATACTTCTTCTGTAAAATGAAGTCCACCGACTGTAAAAGTTTTGCCAGAGCTGGACTGACCATAAGCAATAATGACGGATGTGTAACCGTTCGCAACACTGCAATTTTTTTATAAACAATGTTTACATCTTTATAAGGGCGAATCACTTTTTACTTCTCCACAACACCGGATACCACCTCGGAATAAATTACGTCTTGCTCAACGTTGGCAAATAATCCATCGCTATCGAATTCCCAGTAGCTGGTTTTCTCTTCGAGGAATTTTTTTGAAAGTTCCTGCAAATTACGAACGAAAATTTTCCTAGAATCCCTATCTAGTCGAATATGAGGCGTAGACTGCTGCTCCGTGGGGAATATTCTATAAAATACTTTGACATTGTCTCGTAACGCGGGCATTTTGACAAACGTCATTTTTAAATAATACGGGGTGATTCGGATTCAAAAAGTGAGTGTCTAAATTTTTTTTTTCAAATTTGGCATGTTTATGAAATATTTATGCACACGCAGCGTTGCCAGTTTAATTCGAAATAGACGACAACATTGGAAATTCAACTGGAACACTGTGTAGATTAGTATGTTTTTTAGTTTTGCGCAAAACACCAAGTAACTTTTGTTAGCATTTTCCTAAGTTTTTACTGTTACTAATTTTTTCATAAATATATACTTTGGAAATAGCTAGCTTACTTACGCAAAAAGATATTAAGGTTTAATAAAGCGGAAAGAGACAGACGTTGGTAAATGTCAACAAAAGTTACTCAGAATGTTGCGCAAAACCAGAAAATGTACCATCGGCGTAAATATTTCAAGATAGATATGACCCAAATTTACCAAAAAAAAAAACCTATTTGGCTTTCCGTAATTTCTCATAGGACATTCGTCATAAAATTTCTCTACACCAAATGATTTTGCACAAAAACCTGGAACACTTAATAAATTAAAATATATCAAATTGTCATGTTTCAAAGAAACTTCATCATATTACTTACAGATCTTCGTCACTAATCATTGTCTCAACTTCTTCAGAGCATAAGATTAGTAGTAAATAGTAAATCAAATTGTGACTCCGAAAGTTCTCTACAATATTTATATATGCCTTTTCTCGAAACTCGTATTATTATAAAACTTTTTGTTTCCAATTAGTTTTAAAGGGGTGTTGTTAATGAAGAATCTCTGACGAATACTAATTATTTATTATATATATATATATGTTTCAGTTCATTATTACAGCTTGACAATATTTTATATAACACCTTATCGGAACTGATGCGAACTTATCCTCAATCCAATCGAATTTTTACCTATTTCCGCTACCTGGCATACATTACATAAACACCCCTTGTATTTGGGAAGGTATGAAGTTTCACAGAGAGGACATTTCTCTTCCGCTTTGCCCCGATATATTGGAGTGTAGGAGTAACCGCAGATCGAGAAGGGGTTGTGTTCATCATAGCTTAATTTCATTTCATCCACAGGATTTGCATCGCAAGCCTGAAATAACACAATTACATCAAATTTTGTATAATAAAAAATATTTTTATACAGGCCTAACCACAAAACAAAATTGTTACCTGCAAAATTTTTCTGGTCTGTTGTGCGACTTCCGGTCTGGGTCCTAAGTCGAGTAGTCTTTTCGCGAAGGACGCGGCAGTTTTGAAATTCTTCAACTTGAAATACATATTTAGCGCCGTTCTAAGAGTTAGGATTTGATGAATAGGTTGTAACTTGCAATGCGTAAAGTATGCCGCCATTTCGCATTGCCTTTTCTGTTCTTCTGCCGAACCTTTTTAGACAGCACAAAATTAATAACATCCACACTGAATTTGAGAAAACACCTTGTATTAATATAAAAATTAAATAAGTAATACCTTTCGGTAGTGTTTTTCGAAGCGTTTCCATTTGCAAGCCGCAAATATATTCGCCGCATATTTTCAGCAACTGCTGAGCTTCAGCTATTTCTTGCTTGTTATCCACTATCAAGAGTGTTATAGCCAGAAGAAGATTTTGAAATCTTTCGATCGCCTCCGTGAATTTGCCGCCAGTGGTTAGTTGATAACAAACCTTGAATATTAACAATATTACCTATAATTTAAACTCAGATGATGTTGATCACCTGTAAACGAGAAATCAAATCATTTAATTTAACTCCTGTAGCGGGAAGGCTGGTTTTTATATTTGCATCCTTCCAATTTCTGAGCGGGTAAGCAAATATAGGTGGGACGTTTTGCAGGTGGACAGAAACGGTTCGGGAGCTCCCATACAGAGTCATAAACATGCTCTCGTATGGTTTAAAGTTTACGATGCCCACTTGGTCGTGAAGTAGCCGGCAAGCAGATTCAAACGATCCGGCCGCAATATGATCGGCAGCTAACTGAGAAGATTTAGTCCAGCTAAGTCTTGGGGAAGGGCCTGGAAACATATAAAACGGTAAATTGAATCAACAAATATTCAATGGATGTTCCCTGCACAGAACATGTGCGATACGCAAAGTGATAACTCATTAAAATTACTTTCACACTATACAGGTTGATCCAAAAGCGTTAAACTATCAAAGTTGTATTTTTTAAAATGTTTCAGTAACGTTTGTGGCACCTAACCATTAAACGCTATAATATAAAGGAAGTTCGATTTAAAAAATCAAATTAAATACGTGAATAATAATAATAATATATATACATATATAATAATAAAAACAGCCAAATTTTACTTAAAAACAAAAAACTTTGTTGCTGTTGATTGATACAAACCGATGATTCCATAGAGGGAGCTTCTTAAACTTTATCAATATTTTTGTATATATGCCTTCGAACTAATGTTCTTATAAACTAAATAAAAATAAGACACAGGTCTTACCTTGTGCAGGAAGATGTACGTAGCTATCACTGATTTCAGTCGTCTGTGCAGGACCGAGGTCTGGAATTTCAAGATCAGCATCTTCAACGTCCCATCCCGCTTCCCCTTCTCCGGTTGAGCCAGCAGCAACACCTTTCTTTTCTTCTTGATCTATTTCTAGATCATCTTCGTCGCCCCAGCCACCTGCTTCTTCCATGCCAGTATCAATGGTCGGTTCTGCCATTAGTGATTTGTTAGCTGCTGTCGCTGCAGCTGCAGTGTTTTCAAAATAGCCCTGTAAAAAAAATTCTATAATTCTACTGCACAAATGAACAATGTTTATGCACCATCTTACTTTGCTTACGGTGAGTAGAGGCCAATTTGATTCTGCTTGTTGTATTGGAGGAGGTGGCTTCAAAAATTTTGCATTTGGATCGATATCCGGTAATTTTTTGTTGTTTCCTATCTGGGCAATTAATTGTTCTGCTTCGTCAGTCATTCCATGTGTAGCAGCTGTCAAATATGCCAGCGATAGCTGATTTGATGATTTCAGGATCTTAACACGTTCTTCAAGGTCACCTAGAAAATAATAATATGTAACAGTAACCAGAACAGTAGAATTTCGGTTTTGTGCACCTAAAAGTAGAGCTCCATGATACTGTGAGGATCTGGCTTTTCTGATTTCAGCAATTTTAGTCATCTTTCTTAGTTTATCCAAATTGCCTGTAATTAAATAAAGAAAAGAAAGCTTTTCAAAGCTCTTTGTTCTCTGGTAGCACATTTCCACCACTTGGTGATTGCCCTAAAAATAATACTTTGCTGAAAAAAGAAGTATAAACTGAGAGATGTGGGTGAATAATTAGCACTGCTGCTAAAGTTAATATCTATAACTGTTTGAAACTCATTAAAATTGAAATCATAATTGGAGGAGAAACCTACATAGACTTGGTAATTTACCTGCCACAAAGCAGCTTGCGCTAATTGATCCCAACAAGCCTTATCATTCAAAGACTTTGCAGCTTCTAAGGCCACTTCAATATTACCACATTCCAATGCTAAAGTGAAGCGGGTTTTGTCATCTTTGACAAAATGCAATGCAACCTCAGGATACCCTTTCTGTTGAAGGTATGATATGATAGACTGACCAACAAGTCTTGATTTCTGGACCATATAAAGTACCTAAAGATATACTTCCATGTGAATACTGAGTTATTCATACAGAATTTGATTAAGTCACCTCTTCATAGCGGTGGTTTATCAAAGCTAATTTGAATTTGTATTCTGTAGGATCTACTGTCAAAATTCGAGGTTTGCATTCTCTATCCAAACAAAACACTTGGCTTCCCTTTACTCTGGTGATGTAAATAGGTAAGTCCAAGGTTCTTATAATTCCATGGTCACTAAAAGATCATTCTATTTTTAATATCCTAGTTCTATAACTCTGACCATATAATTACCCATTAGTGAGAGTGTACTTGATATGATTACTGGTAGTGTAAATAAAAACTCCAGAATCATCCCATGCTCCTGACTTGACACGTGTATTTTCATGAAGGGAGCATAGGACATCAAGTTTTCTATTGCAAATAGTCACAGTGTGTTTTGCAAGGAGAGCAATATGAGCCATATCATTAGACCAAACAACATAGCGACATTTGTTGATTTTCACTAAAAGTTTAGCACAGGGTCAATACAGAGTTAGTACAAAAAGCATTAAAATATTACCTTGTGATAAAATTCGTTTTTGTTGCACGTCAAATAGGGTAACATGTTCTGCATCACGAAGTAATAACATACCAGTTCCGGCATAAAAAATTTCATCGCAGGGTGGCGTTTGCACCTTCTTAGTAACTTCATTTTTTAAATTTTTAATTACTAACTGATGGGAACGATCCAAAACAGCAAACCTAAAAACATTACCTTTGGTTCAGGATCTGTACCTGGTAGCCCTATCTTCGAAAAGAATTTTCGTAAGGTTTTGGGTAAAACAATTCTAAACAAAGCAGCCAAAAGAAATGCTGGAAATCATTTTTGATGTTCTAGAATGTCTGTCAGGGGCGTAATCGCTTCCTTGAATTAATCCAGGCTGACCATCCGTACTGGATTAGCCGGTACAGGGTCAGGTTTTTAAGTCAACATCCTGGAAAATCTACTCGTCCTGGGTTGTCCCGGATTTTTCAATTAGTTATATCAATCCGCAATTAAAACTACTTTATTGTAAAATGAAACATTAATAAATGAAACTATTTTGATATCGATAATTGTACAAAAAAGGAACTGGGGTTTAAAAACATATCTTTGATGGTTAACTTTGCACTCTGCCTCGCGGTATTAATGCAGAGAAAGACAGTGTTCTCAATTATAAAACACTTTTTTTAGTTCCGAAAAAAGTCAACTTCATATGAAATCAGCCACGATTGCAAGGTGTAACGGGACTTTAAGCTGTTTGGAGTTTTACAAATTCCTTTTAAAAAATGATGTTGCTCTAAATGCAATAAGTGGTCAAAATAAGTATTTTTTTAAACAATAGGTGGCTCTAAAAAATTATTAGGCATTAAAATTTGGTTCGCATATATTTTCAATATCTATAAGATAATAGTTTTTTTATACACAAAGATAATAAGTTTTTCTTTTCCAATAATATATATATATATATATATATATATATATATATATATATATATATATATATATATATATATATATATATATATATATATATATATATATATATATATATATATATATATATATATATATATATATATATATTTTGATTTTATTTCTATTTTATTTTTATTATTACATTTTTACGGATTAACCCCATTATTTGAGAAATAGTCTTCTATCAGAGAGCTAAAATGAACGCCGCTGTACAGTTGGCATAAATTCTTTAGCGACGCTGCTCTGAGTAGAATGATGTAGACTGCTTTTATTGCCGCTAGAAGGCGTTTTATGTCATCACTATTTATTTTTTTCATAAAATTAATGCAATGATATCACTTTTATTGCAAGAAAGGATAGGCAAATAAGAATCTACCAAGCCAGTGAAAACAGCATTTTGATATCTTTTTCTTAATCTATTAGAAATAAAAAACAAAAACTCAAAATGGTATCGCACCTTTGGGAATATTTTCAGTATCCCTTCCATTATTAAATCCTAATTTTCGTTCTTTTAGCAAAACATACAAAAAATAAAAATAATAATCAATATTCATTTAATATGATGCCCATCTGCTCACACAAATTTCGGAATTCCACGTAATTCAAGTATGCTTTGGTAAACAAAATAGCAAAACTTATAATGATGTATAAATGTCAATCATATTAAGATTGCAGCTATTTATAGTGTATTTTGGTCGTCTTGTTTGTTGGATCTCAAAACATTGAACACGGAACTATATATATAATATATTGCAGTCATATAGTAATGAGTATTGATTATTATTGACATTTATATTTTATATAATGGCCAATTTTGGCGTTTTAATAGTAAACAGGTAATTATAAAAAATATATTTTGCTAAAGGAACGATTACTAGTATTTAATAATGGTAATAATAATAATAATAGTATGGTATAACGGTTTTGATTTCCGTTACTGATATAATAGATTAGGAATAAGCTATTTGACATGCGGTTTTCAGTAGTATAGTGATTTTGCAAAACAGCCTGATGCGGTGATACAAGCAATCTTAGTTAAACCATCTGAGGCATAGACGATGGCCCGTTTCAATGACTTCAAGTTTAATAAAATGTATTGATCGATTTATGAAGTTTTACCTGTTTCTAGCCACCCAAAGCGCGGTCAAACCGCTAGACCTTTTGCTCTCAACTTCTGGAACATGATCATCCCTTTCTTGCTCTTTAGGGATGATATACAAGTCGTAAGTACTGTTATCTAGGTTGGATGTACGAGTTGAAAGCAACACTGCATTTTCGGCAGGATTAAATGACATTTTGTATATGGGAATTTTTCCACCACCTATAAGAGAAAAAATATACCTCTATTGTAATAGAGGTCAATCAACAATGTCTACCTTTTATTTGAATGACAGGTACATCTTTTGCGGTAGTAAAATCCAGTTTCCTTAAATATCTTTCTTTGACATAGTACAACAAATTTCCATGAACTGTATATGCAGGTCTCTCTCTTTCAAGCTTGAAAATAATCATACCTGCATCGTGACCTGCGGCAAACAGATTCAAATTTGGATGAGATGTCATAACCCAAAATCTTTCATGTTCCCTTCGAAAAGTATGAAGGCAAGTTCTCTTTTGCATATCCCACACCCTAATACTCTTGTCCTCACTGTTTGATAGAATTAATTCTTGCCTGGGGTGAAATAAAACACAAGAAACATTGTTATAATGTCCTCTGCAAGTATCAACTTCCCAAGCTTTAGAATCATTCATTCTCCACAATTTTATTTGACGATCATCCGCTCCTGACACAATTAAAGGTAGGGAATGATGGAAGCTTGCCCAGTTGACTCCTCTGTCATGCCCCTCTAGGACATGTTTTACAACTGCATCAGAAACACCAAAAAGATCAGTGGCACCAGGATTTTTTAAATGTTCCTCCAATCCAGATGGTCCTGGGGCAACATTTTTCTTCCTAAGACCAGATATATCCCAAACTCTTACTGTAGAATCCAAAGATGCAGACACAAGCAAGTCTTCACTGGGATGAAACATTGCACACATCACATAATGATTATGCCCTGTGAGAACACAAATACAAGTACGACTTTGCCAATTCCAAATCCGAATAGTTTGATCATCAGAAGCAGAAACAATCCAGGGATACTCATGATGGAATTCAGTGGTCCGTATATAATCAAGGTGACCCAACAAGGTAAAAATACATCTTTTCTGCTTATAATTCCATACTTTAATTTTGTAGTCATCTCCTCCTGATACAAATAAAGGTTGTTGGTTATGAAAACAAATACCCCTTACTGGACCGTCATGCTCCTCAAATTTTTCCAATAGAGTGCACATCCTGTAATCCCATAGTTGAATGCAACCATTGTGTAAACTTGCTAGAATCCACGGCCTTTTTGGGTGAAAAGACAAGCCTTTCACTCTTGCAGATTTGGTTTCAAATTTTGTTAGCATCTCTAAGTACTTAGTCGCTTTCAACAAAATAAACGATTTTTTTAACCTTAGGCAAGTTTCTTTTTTTCAATGGTATTTACTAAATTAATCATTTAATGAAAATTATTAAGGTTTAGAACACAACACCACAAATAAAGTAAATACGTGGCTGTCATGTCAATGTCACAGAACATAACTCCAAAAGTTTAAGTCAATGTCAATATTCCTTTTTTCTTCCTTATTTCTAGCAACTGGACTAGTCTTTTCAATTGAAATCGGTGGTCTCTTCTTTTTACTTTACAAGCTTTAAATGGCAAAAGCAGGGGCATGAAGAACTTCCCCATAAACTTGGAAACATGGCAACGTTGGAGTGATTCTTTACATACATATATTTTTTTACCATTAAAATGTGGTCTCTACCATATTCAAATCTCTATTCTGTGATGAGTTAGAAGCTATGTTGGTTTGTGAATGTGTTTTTCCTTGTGTTTTCCGTCATAAATGTCGTGTTTCGTAATTTATTTTGGAAACCAATTGTGTCAATTTTTAAAAGTAAGTTTTACCATGCTTATTTACATTTTATCTTTGTTTTTTTTGTTAGGTTAGAATAATTTTTGACCGCCAAATCAATTTTTGTAATTGGACCTATAACAATTTCGTTCTTGTAATAATTTATAGCGTAAAAGTATGGTTGATACATGTATTTTATTTTTTCCATCGCAATACAAAAAATGTCTTACTTCATTACTTTCACTAAATGCCATTCTCTGGTATTCACTTATTACTTACTAAAAAACATTGGTGCGATTTTTAGCTCTTTATTGAAAAATATGTATATCTGTTAAAGAGGAATGTTCAGAAAATAGCTTTATTGTATTTGTATAGAATAGTAATGCTACTTATACAACACTAATTTGTTGAAAAAGCGTAATATCCATTAATAAAATATATTTTTTTTTGTTTTTTTCTTGCACATTTTGACACTTCGACGAATTTCAAGTTGCCTGAAACCGAAAATCAAATTTTTAAAATGGAATAAATCCTATTTTTCCATAAGAACATAATGCCCCGAAATGCTGCCTTTATCATAGTTTGCAGTTTTACTTCCGAATTCAGCGGACGGTAGCTTTTCATACTTTTGAAACAACTTTATTAAAATACCAAACTAGTGGAAGAAACACTTTTTAAAACCGACATTTTTTGCAATAATATGACATCAAATTTAGAATATTTGCTTGAAAAGAAACACAAATTAAAATCAGTGTACGAATTTATAAAAAATAAAGTACAAACATTTAGATAATCGACAATAACAATTACAGTAATAATAAAATTGATCAGTTGAATGATCCCGAGTTAGGTACTACCTTTTTTGAATTAAACTGATTTTTTGTTTTAATTTTCATGTTTTATTTTGTTTGTATTATTTTTTTCGGTTTATGAGTACTTAAAGCAATCAATTTTATCTGCTTTGGTTAATTTGCCTTTCGTTTCTTATCTTGATCGCTAGGTATACTATTTTCATCGTGCAAAAAATCTGCGATAACTTATCTTGTTTATCCATAGCATGCAGTGTCTCGGCTATTTACGTTGTTATGAGATTCAGTGTTGTAATTTTGCTGTTGGCCGTCTGGTTTTATGCAGAGTCATTGCTACGAAATAGTTGTAAAATTCCCGAGTTTACAGCTGACTATTTCCATTAAAATGTAAAAAAGCTATTTTTTTCAGTTACAGTAAATTATTATTAAATTGAAATTTAGAACAAGAGAAAAGCGCGTAAACAGTTTTATGTTTCGATATAGCAAAGGAACATACAAATTTTATAGATTTAAGTATAGTCCAAAAATAATAGCCCTGTGTAATGACGTCAGTTTCGTTTATCTTTATCAATAATATTGGCAGTTCCCAGAAACGCAGCTAATAATTTTAAATATATATATTTTTTAACTTCCGAAGATACAAGTTTGAAATTGAATCTCACTACAAATGGAGAATGTCAAAAAACAAGGAGCACCAGATGCAACAAAACTGATTCCCTTGATGGTTGCGAACATCAACGCTTTTCTTTTCAATTTTCTGTTCCTTTGTCTACAGTAGATTTTTTTTCAACTCGTTTTTAGTCAAATCAAATTAATTATGACCGCATTTCTTGTAAGATTCCAATATTCTCCCATTATTCCAATCTCTATACTTTGAGCAATATAAAATTTGTTTTGCAAATTGAAGATAAGCAATGATTGTTATGATAATTACGTATATACGCGACGTATTTTGTAATTGCAGTCGCCAAGCTTGAATATACAATATGTTGCATTTCACATCCTTGCCGAAACTATAACAATAATCCTAACAAGACATGTATTTGTTATCTTTACTTCTCCCTGCTTATGCATGATACGTAAAAAAATGTGAAAGTCACTGTACGATTTCAAGCGTTGTAGGTTTTAAGTCAACGGTTTTGAAACATGTAATTGTGTTTAGCGCTATGCGTGGAGTATGAATTTGCGGCTGTGATTAGTCTCATAAAAGGTTTATTTTTCGTCGACGATATGGTGTTTTTGGATAAATATAACGATGAGTAAGTGTTTTAGTTTTTCGAAACACCTGTCCCAGTCCAATTAATCAAAATTTTAAGCGATATTTCGTTTTGGTTTTCAAATACTAAAATACGATAAATACTTTTTACTGATACTGTAATATACCTATAAATAATTAGTTTTTCAAAATATTTTGAGTTTTCACAATTCTTAAATTTCCCAAATTTACAGCACAGCCTGTAGCTTGTATATATGTCCATGATACATTAAATATCAAAAAACTGACAATGTGTTGCCCAAAATGTACTTTTCACTGTTATCTTGAGTGGAAGTTAATGGTGGAACAAATAAGGAGTTATTCGAATTTTTAAAAAGAAAGGTTAAAAAATTGGTGCAAGCAGTGCCTTTTTGATTTGATTAATTTAAATAAAGTATTTTTTCTAAACTCTTATTTTTTATTTTTAAACGTGGAAAGTGTTACATATTCTTTTTTAGGTTCATAATGGAGGGAGATGAAGACTCTGGTAATTATGCGAAAGCATCAACTAATAATAATAATACAAAGCCAAACAGTACAAGCAATGTAATAGACTGCGGAGACATGAGCTTCATGATGGTCGACTACATCAAAGAGGCGATGAAGGTAATTCCGGATTCTGTTAACCTAATTTACTTGCCCCCCCAACCACGCAATTTTTGGGTGTATAAATTTAACGACCGTCCTATTTTTTTAATTAATTTTTTGTCATGGTGGATTTAGCAGCTTAGTTGGTCATTGAATAAATAAAACACTGCTTAAATCAGTCTTACCAGACTATAAGAAAATGTTTTCTGGAAAAAATTCTTGTACATATGTTTTTCCCTATTTATTTGTACTGTACAATAGCGTCACCCAAGTGATGAAAGTCCTTTTAAACATTGTTTAGTCAGTCACCCAATTGCAACAAGGTAACAAAACACATTTTCATTGTATGCAGTCTTTGGCGTTTTTTTTTTCAAATTTCAAGCAGATGACAAGATATGGACAGAGTTATATCTCTAAGGAAGGTTTGATTATGGGCAACCCACTTACTTCTTTGTTAGCCGAAATTTTTTATGGATAATTTGGAAAATATCATACTAGAACATGCTTTAAGTAAAAGTTTTCTATGTTGGTATAGATAAGTGAATGATGTCTTGGCTTGCTTTGTTGGAACGAACAGACAATTGAATTCTTTTTTAAATTACATCAACTTATTACATAATCGTATAAAATTCACTGTCGAGATTGAACAGGATAACTCTCAATTTTTTAGACCTAACTATTACGAAAACGCAAATCAAATTAGATTTTTCCTTTTACCATTAACCTTCACACACGGACACAGTCATATATAACAGGCCAAATCACCCCTATACACACAACATGGCTGTATTTCACTCTTTTTTATACAGACTTCTTAATACGCCACTCTCAACAGAAAATTACAACAAAGAACTTAATATCATTAAACAAATTACAGTGAACAACGGCTACAATCCTTTCATTATCGATAAAATTATAAATACCAAAACAAATCCATACAACAGTAAACTCTATTTATCCGAAACCTAATACAGAACACGAACAATTTAAAACAATTACATACATAGGAGAACCCAGTGAAAAAGTTTCAAAACATTTGTCAAAATGCGGTTTAAACGTAGCTTTCAGGACTAACAACACAATAGGAAAATTCTTAAAAAACAATAAAAGGAAATGTCCAAAATCTCAAAAATCAGGTGTCTACAGGTTGAAACGCGGATCTTGTCCTAAAATTTATATTGGACAAACAGCTAGATCCTTCAACAAACGCACTAACTAACATAAAAGAGCGTTAAAAAACAATAGTCTAGATTCTAATTATGCTACATACTTAAACACAGAAAACCACTTTTTTGATGACAATTTTGATATTTTACATACAGCCACAAAAAGTAGAAAATTAAATTTATTGGAAGCCATAGAGATTAACAAAATGAGACATTCAAATGTATTGCTTAGCAATCAATTAGATTTAAATACCTCTCCATTATTAAACTTAAATTCTCACAAGAACTTTAATTAAGGTTTTATTGTCATTTCTCGGTATTTATAGTAGCAGGTAGTTTGTAAATGTTACATTTGATAAAGACACGGTGTTGTCGAAGCAATTGTCATGTGAATATATATAATTTCGTGAAAATCTGAACTTTTAATTCTTATTTATTTTCTCTCTCTTGATTAATTTTAAAATTTTGAAAGATTGATCACTCTGATCAATGCGCTCTGAAAAGACAAGAATTGCCCTTTCCAAATTGATTGTGTTCAAAATTTGCCGATCAATTACATCATGTATTCAAAACTTTATTTTGTTAAATACGACACCCTGTATATTATTGCATTGTTTTATGTAAAATTTATTTCTACAATAACTTTAACCTTTACTAAAACGGGTTGTGTCATTCTTTCATCATTTTTACTGTTATGCGATACATGGAAGCACCGGAATGGCAATTTCCTTTTTTAATATGATGGTTAGTAGGGAGTGAAAGATAATTTTGTTATAAGAAATAAAATTAACATTAGCATATTAAATCAATACAGGGAAATTAAATAATCAATTAATGAGATAAAAAACTTGGAACACAAGAAATACGAACTGAAGTTAAACTAAACAAAACAATTAATAAACTCCCATATTATCCGCGTAGTGAACCTGCAGTATGCGTCTGGTAAAGCAATCGTCAACACAATTCATTGCTATTTTGTACATTCCTGGAAAGTACTCTTTTATACATTCACGGAGTGGAAAATCCAAGGAAATCCAAATCCAGTGATTTGGGTGGTCATTTCCAGAGTTCCATAACTCTTTTTAATTAAATAAAAAAATCTATTGTAACTAGAAGAAACGTTGGAATTTTTATGACTTTTCATAAGAAATTGGAAATAACAAGAAAAAATGATGTAATTGGCTGGTAAATTTTGAACAGGAAGCTGGGAACATTTTTTAAATAATTGTTTCCAAGAGTTCTTAATATTTAAAGAGGCCTGCTCAAACATTTAGGATTCCGGTGAATGACAGCTGCTTTTTTGAATTTTCTCCTCCATTGCTGTTCCTTCCCTATGATTTTAGTTACTGTTCAGACGTCCAATATCCATATTTCTAATGGTCTGTTTGTTTCGCTTATATAGAGCTACTGCACTCGCAATGTATTTTATATATTAGTTTCTCTTTGACCGGCAGATTTGTTCTCCGTGAGGTGGCCTCTTAGAGCATTATTCGAACTAGGTAGTGTTTATGTTGGTGGAGCGTTGGTTGGTTTTTTTTTCTGGAGCTCCTATTTGTCTTTCCCGGTTACTGCGTGTTTTCCAGAACTCTACAAGTTTTGATGGATATTCAGTCTTTAAATGACTCCTTAATATACACATTGCATCAAAATTAATGCACCACTAAATTTGGGTCAAATCTAAAGTTAATTTTCTGGTGACTGGATTTGGATATGTATATTTCCTACTTGTGGCTTAAGTCTTCAGAAATGATATTGTAAAAACATCGTTATTTAAATTCATGTTTTAGAAATATACAGAGTGTTTAAAGAAAAACCACTATTATTTTTAATGTGAACACTATCAGGTGTCTGTCTAAGTCAGCCCTTTCAGCACTTTTTTTATTCTCCTATTTTTCTCAGTTATTAAATACGGGTCAAATGTAAGAATTACATTTTTTTTTATGAAAAAAAAAATCATAAACATTAAATAAGTAAATCGTCAATATCGGGTGCTTCCCCACTACTCCTTATAACCGATTGGTATCGACTACCCATACTTTGAATCAGACGTTTAATTTGTGCTTGATAATGTTTCTTACATCATCCAAAGAGTCGGGATGATCTCTAAGCTGGGTTAAGGTCTGCACCGCATGGAGGCCCGTCCCAGGTCTTATTTAAATATCTCTGTGCTATTCTTGCATAATGTGACCTGGTATATAAGACACTCAGTATATGCCTAAAATTTAAACAAACATGTTTTTCATAACATCGTTTCTGCAGATTAACTCTGAAGTTTACCCAAATTTTCGTGGTTTTGATGTAGGTTCTGTTCTGAACTACTCGAGCATCGGAGTTTTTATTCCATATTTTGAGATGTTTTGGTGGTTAGGAGAGAAATTTAGGTATGTATGGTGCGTGTGCATGTATGTGGTTATCACCATGCAATATTCTGCGAAATCGCGAACAATCGCTTGGAAACCCCTGATTTTTGCCCTTGTGAACGAAGCTTTCCTATTTATATTTTTTCTGCATCTATCATAACTTCGTCGGTTTAGCGATTTACTAGACAATTCACTAAAAAAATCAATTATTTAAAAAACCACTCAAGTGCGATCATTCGGTTGTATAGACTGCCTGAACTCAAATAGTCGATACATAAAGATGTTTAATGATTTCGTTATTTTATGATTACGCCTTGCCCGATTGCTTGGTACGTTAATATATTTTAAACGGATTCTTAGAACAGCAACAACAGTCTCGTTTTCGTTGTTTGTCGAAGTTAATCCAAATCAGATAAAACACGAGTGCTTATACACCTCGATATTTTGCATAATCATCGTGAATGACTTTCATTAATTATTTCGGACTACACACTTGGCCCTGAAACGAATTCCCTGCGAAATTTGCCAAGTTTATATCGTTGAATATTTTATAAAATGGCCGGTGGGCTAGTTAACGCACACGGAACGCGTCTCTTGGGATCGATTTATTTATGGGAATGTCGAAATATCTTTATAACCAAAATGCAAGCAATACATACGTCTTATCGTTTTAAGTGGTTTATCAGAATTATAGAGTGGAGAAGAAATATCTGTATTCTTCATTTTATTATCACTTATTCTTCCAATTATTATATAGGATGGTCGGGGTTTTTCGTGACAAACTTTTAACAGTTAATATATCTCCTATTGTTTCTCATGTTCACAGTTTTAGTATTACCCTGAATGTTTATATCAAAAATAAAAAAGAAGTAGTACCTATAAACCATATAACTATTAGATAATCTAGTGGCCCTAAGGACGGTAAAAATTGATGCGCCTGAGGCGGTGATAACAATTTTGTAGAGATGTGCTTGCGCTATTGTCTTTCTAAACAGCTACCTCCACTTAATTCGTTTTTCTTGAATGTTTAATGGGTTATGGGTATACTTTCAGAAAATACTGCCATAAAAATATCACGTGCAAACTGTCACCGGCCATGTTGATTGTTGACCTCCCTACGGTCCTATTGGTTGAAAGCCAGATTCGAAATGGCCGATTTTATTGGTTGATCACGAAATTTCAAATGACCCCGCATGCGCACATTTATTTTGTACTTTAAAAGACGCTTAGGACATCTGTTTCGATCCGTTCTTCAAATGCCCCCAAATAAAACCCGTCAAATAGGCACAAACAGAAGCATACAATTGATAAATGAACATTTCTTTAATTCATTAATAATTGGAAATATTTTAATTGTAGAACCGTAGATAAATAGGTTTCTTTAAGTGTTGAAAGCATCTGTTGGAAAAAATTACCGAAAATTATATTATGTCGTTAGAAGGAAAGAGTATACTTATTTACAAATAAAGTACTGCAGAATGAAAAAATTGTACTAATATGATAATAATTCTGCAAATGGCGTAGAATTTTGGGCCATTTGCCCCTGTCGTACAGTCCTGCCAGGACAAGTTTATGTCAAGTAATTTTAAAAAACTGGGCAAAGATATTTTTTAAATTTTTAAACCCCCTGTACATCATTAAATCTGAGTCGGTTTTTGGGGGGTTCCTTTTGGATGTTACGTATTGGCGGAAATGGAGCATTTATCAATAATTATCACGAATCATTATCTTCGTCGATTATTAAAACCGGCTGCACGAAGCGCGTTGAAGGTTTAAACACCCGAAGCTCCTCATAGTGTATCGCGCGATTTGAGTATTGAAAGTTCTTTGAGAGTGTTTCGGAAGAAAAAAAAAAACGAAATGAATTTCACTGACTGCGAACGTTGGCGGATCGTTGAATGTTTTGAACGAAAGTCAAGAAGGATTTTGGTCGTGACAGTGCCCGGAGACGATACCCAATCCGGGATAACCGTGACGCACAACTTGTGGGTTAGTATTATGTGAATTTTTCGCCTTCCTTCTTCAACAATATCCGCCAATGGAAAATTTGCTATTTTGTATTATATTTTTTAATTTTTTATTTACATGAAGCGTTCTCTATTTTTATATTTTTTTTATTTCTTAATTTAATTATTAAATAATTTCTACTAGCTCCACTTTATACGTGATCAATATCTAAACCAAAAGGTAGCGTTTTACTCCACGAAAAGAAGAACAAGAAACTATAATCAACGGAGTTACTTGGATTTAATCTACCTAGATTGGAATAATACATATTAATTATTGAAAATTAAAAAAAAAGACAAACCTCGTAAAATACCTTATGGGTGGAGAGAGAACAAACAGTTAATAGGAGTTCACTATCGACGACAAAGTTGGGAAACATAAACTGAACCCATCGGAACTGGCCACGGTGTTATTAATTTAAAATTAAAATTCATATACAACCACGAAGAAAAAATAGTTCTGTGGAACTAATGAAGATAGAGAATGGTTTCTATGTAATATCGTACTCGCTTATATTCTGTTTACCCAGATGAATTGAACCACTTGAATTATTGATTAAATGTTGTTTCAAAAATTGTACGAGGTATATCACCTTATCTCCTCTACTTGTCGACAGTTTTCCTAAATTTTTGAAGAAATATACAATGTGTCCCAGATTTGCTTCTCTATACACTCCTGTTATACCTAAAGCAAGCGTTAAATGAGGAAAGTTTTAGAGGAAACTTAGTGCATTTGATAACCGGCTTCAGATTTATGATCGGCCGGCTTCGTTTTCGCCAGTAAATCCGAAACCGTTAAATTGACAGCTGTCAGATTGTAACATTGTTCGGACACTTTCTTAAGACAAGTAAGATAGCGCCGTATGACATGCCTCAATCATCTTTTGTTATCTTATTATTATTAATTATATTATTAATTTTCATTTTTCTTGTAAGCGCCATATTGGATTTTTCTATTTTTGGAGAGAGCGTAAAATGTTCAGTTCAGCGATGTCTCACAAGTGCACAAAATATTTTATCACCCTTCGCACCGTTAAGTAACATAAAAAAACATGAAAGTAAAAGACGACTCAAGAAGTCAGATGTTTTGTGCAAATTATTTTTTAAAGAAAAAGTGAAAACTTGAACAACGTACAAGTTTAATAATTTTACAAGTAATGTAATGTAAAAATTTGCAAAGTGGGGCGTTCATTTGCATCGCGAAATTTTTGGCAACTGGTCAATGTTTTTCGTACAACCCTAGCAAATGTATTTGAGTTAATGTTTTTTAATGTGTCCAAAATTCTTTATCTCAAAGTTTCTCTAATCCCGGGAGGATCAAAAAATCATTTTTTGTGTGACCTCACAGGAAGAAATCCATGGTCAGGAGATTTAGAATGCCAAGGTATCGGACCTTTTAATGAAATAATTCTTTCGTCAAATTGCTTGCTTAAGAAGTTCCTGACACGAATAGTGTTACATTTATAATTTTAATACTACTTATTAAAATACAACTTTGATAATTTGAGTGATTTAATGTCAAAGTCAAAGCCCTTATATGGAAAAAAAGGCGATAATTAAATCATGGCCTTCTTATAAAATAATTAGGTAAGATCCAGCTTATCGAAGTGTGATAAAAGTTTTGTGCACCTGTGAGACATCACACATCATCAGGAAATTTTATGCTCTTTCCAAAAATCAAAAAATGCAATATGGCGACTGTAAGAAAAATAAATCTGAAGCCGGTTATCAAATGCACTGTTTTCTCTAAAACTTTCCCCACCTAACTTTTGCTGTAGGTATAACAGGAGCGTACAGAGAAGCGAATCTGGGTCATATTGTATACCGTATTATACCTTGTTCCATAATGATGATTGTTGAAACTAACCGAAATTAACCCAAATTCATCAATACTGTAATAATTCTATTACGTACGCCATTTCTTGGAAATGGTGTAGCTCCAATTAATGGTTTTAATCTTTTCATTACTGTTTACTTTAATAAACGTTTTCAAATTAAATATAAAAAATATTTTACTCGTTCTTAAGTATTGTTCCTCTCAGATTTGGTTAGTGGCAGATAATAAATTTGTTTGAATGATTACTTTTTGGGCATTATTCTATTGAAGCTGCAATACGCAAAATTCTGATTTTGTTGTGATGCGTAGTGTTAGTCGGAAAACTCTCATTTTCCAAATGACGGAAATCTCTGATTAGACTGTTTCCAGTTAACAACCAAATCCACAAAGATAACAAATTATACAGATGATTATTATCGATTAGATATAAATCACAAAATTTTTAGTACTTATTGATTAAAGCTCATCAGTGTTCGTGATAATCCCTATGACATGAGGAGATAATTATTTTTCTATGGAAGAAACAAAACATCAGAATAGATTGGTGCGGTTTAGTTATGTACTTTGGTACTTTTTTTATTTTGTTAATTGCCGCTTTGTATTTCTTTTCCGATTTATTGCAATTTTTAATATTATTTTATATTACCAAATTAAAAGTCGTTTTGATGCAATTTGACGTCACTTTTTTTATTTACAAATAAAAACGGCATTTCTAAAGTGGTGTATGGGAAAATTCAATATGGAAGGGAAATTAGGGAAAATTGTAAATACTATACGTGCGTAATGGCGAATGAGGTTAACATGTCTAGGCAATAATTGTGATCAACAACTATGCAAATATGACAGTTCTTATTTTTGATCGATTGTTATATGGAGCACGCCTAAGTTGTTTTATCCGAATTGAGACAAAGTATAACAATTTTTCCACTATCTTGATGCAACTTGATTGCTCTAAAAAAAAGGCATCAAAGTAAACTTTTAAAATTTAAAAAAAAAAAAACGGAATACAGGTAACAAGTAAAATGAAGGATACAAAAATTAAGCACTTTATAATATTTTGGATAGAATTTGCAACATTCTACAGTTTTTTCCGTTTTAAGTGTTTTCAAGTTTGAGTTTAGTTACTTAAGATTTATCTCGTCTCCCCTCCCTACTTAATATCACGCGATGTTATTTTGACGACCCTCCTCCTCCCCACTTATTATATAGAGAGCGTCTTTTTTAATTTTGTCCCATGAATGAAAATAATTTCTTTTTTCTACTCCTATCTGTAAAATACCCAATTATACACCGATCTAGCGTGCGGGAAGCGTCACTTTACCATGTCAGTTTCCGGGATTTTACAGCACGGGTTTCGAAGCAATCGTATGCTTTCGGAGATATTTCCCATGCCTTGAATTTTGACTTTTGTCAATTCTGTCAATGTATTCGTGTTTTTTTTTGCGAAAATGTACCCCAAAACTAACGGTCGTAAAAAAGTATAGTATACAACACGTCCGGTAAACTTTTTAAGTCTCATGCCGTTTACCGCACTTGTTGCATAATATATACTATTGTATAACTGTTTACTTAATATTGAAAATAATTTACAATTATTTGTAAGGATGTTCTTGTATTCTCTCATTAATTATTATTTTTTATAAATTAAAAACAACGAATCCTTTACTACTTTAAAATAGTTTTGGCCTTATAGGCCATGGACATGATGAGGAGCCATCAGATGCTCACGGACGTCGTATTGGAAATTGGCAACGAGTTGTTTCATGCGCACAAGGTGGTGTTGGCGGCGGCCAGTCCCTATTTTAAAGCCATGTTCACGGGGGGCCTGAAGGAATGCGAAATGAAACGGGTCAAGTTACAGGGAATCTCTCCTACCGCCATGGCAAAGCTGATCACTTTTATGTACACCGGAAAAATACGGGTGACCGAGAACACCGTGTGTCAATTGCTGCCTGCGGCTACGATGTTACAGGTATTGCAATTGCAGTTTATTTGATCAACCATGGACCGTTGTATATAGGTTCGCAAAACCAATGAAGCTCATATTTCGAAAATATAGTACAAGCATAAATAAATAATACAATTGTAAAAATGTAACAACACAAACAAGTCTTAAAGCTTACTTATTGCACTTCTAATGTAGTTTTTAATTTAATCTGCATATACAGGATGTACCATTTTCGAAGTCTCCTTATGGGAAAATCTGGTATTGAGGATCCACGGATGCCGTTTGCACATTACTAACCCATTTCTTTGAGAAAAAAGGGTGTAATCAGATTTTCAATAGCTCCGAGGGGAGTTTTTAAAATTTATTGATCTTTCTTAATATGAGAAATATTTTGATTTTATAAACAGATATATTTTCTGATATCCTAATAATTAAATTATTGTTTATTAAGAATTATATTGATAAATTGTTACAAAATAACATGTTTTTGTTTTTTACCCGCAGAACCTTACAGCACTTTAACTTACCTGCTCTATTTTTATAACTGCAAAATGTAAAAGATAATATTCTTGTAAGCCAAACTATCCCGAAAATAAAATTTTGATTGAACTCTTACAGGAAACGATAACAATGCATATAAATTATGTCAAAAAAATTAGTAGGTCTGTATTAATTAAAGGTTCTGATCATTACTACGGTTCTGAAAAAAAAAACAAAACAAAAAACAACACATTTTATTTCTGTTAAAAATTGAAATTCAAAAATGTTGAGAAATTTTCACCAAAATTTTAATCTTCTCTCGTAGTTTAGAAATTACAGGTTCTATTCAAAAACTGATAATTGGTATAAAGTCTCAAAACAGTAGTGCAATTAAATTAGAACAGATCAGATTTTCATAGTTATTTATTACTTTTACAGCTGTTTCGACAACACCGTGACTTTATCATATACAAAATATGACTATTCCAACTTCTATAAATAGATAGTAATAGATTTTTAATTATCGGTGTAGGGTTATAAATTTAAATTTAACAATGGAGACGCATTTACATCCAATTGGTCGTTAAGTAATAGATTCGAATATGTCATTTTATTAATACCCATAGCTTCCAACAAATTTATTTATTTTTTTTTCGAAGCCATGGTAATTGAAAAAATGAGATATTCGAATCTATTACTTAATAACGAATTGGTTAATTTGGTTGTTAAATTAATTAAAATAAATAAGAACTAAAAGTTCAGATTTTCACGAAATTATATATTTTCACATGACAATTGTTTCGACAATGTCTCTATCAAATGCTGTCACGGTGCGAAATAATTGTCATGTGAAAATATATAATTTCATGAAAATCTTAACTTTTAGTTCTTATTTATTTTGTTAAATTTATGACCCTAAAAAAAATATGGTCTTATTTTGTATTTGATAAAGGCATATTTTGTTCTAATTTAATTGTGTTAAGTGTATTTTCATCAAGTGAAAGCTACCTCAGTCCAAATAATAACAGAGTTTGCAATGGGGACACCCTATTTACTCGTGTGTGTTACTTGCAGGTCCCAAACGTTATCCAAGCATGCTGTGATTTTTTAGAGCGACAGCTGGATCCAAGCAACGCAATCGGTATAGCAAATTTTGCCGAACAACACGGTTGTTTAGAACTTTGTAGGAAGGCAAATCAGTATATCGAACGACGATTTGTGCAGGTTGGAGTTATTTGAAATTCCGTAAATAATTTTGCAGTATGATAAAATTAAAAATTATAACAAAAAAACGCTGCAACACAGTAACCATTTTTATTTCAGATTTGTCAGGAGGAAGAGTTTTTGCAATTAACCGCCCATCAGCTCATACTGCTAGTAAAAAAAGACGAATTGAATGTTCAAGACGAAAAGGAAGTTTACAATGCTGTTCTAAAATGGGTAAAATACGACGAGGAAAATCGTCATCGTAAAATGGAAGATATCCTCAGTGCCGTGCGATGCCAATTTTTGCCGCCAAAATTTCTAAACGATCAGATGACTAACTGCGATGTAATTAAAAAAACGCCCGCTTGCAAAGAGTATTTGGCGAAAATATTTAAGGTTTGCGCAATCCGCGGAATATGTATAATATTTTATGGACAGCGGTGATTTCAGGATCTAACTTTACATGTTCGTACGATTGTAAAAGAACGGACGCCAAACATTCCGAGGGTCATTTACGTCGCTGGCGGTTATTTCAAGCAATCCTTGGATATTTTAGAAGGTTTTAATATCGACGACAAAACGTGGATAAAGTTGGACCGTTTGATAGTGCCGAGATCGGGATTAGGCTGTGCATTTTTAAAGGTAGGTATTGCGATTTTATGCATATTTGAACCCGACTCAAAAATTTGAAGTGTACCTTTTTTAGGTTTTTGATTTATAATTGAATTGTATTTAAAATTTTTGGCTTTTTCTAATACAAGTGTTATGTTACATATCTATTCTTCTCTCTAATATTCCTACTAGTTTAGTTAATGAGTTTAAAACTACGTTACTCAAATTATGAGATTCGGAATTATGTCCAGATCATTGCGCGAAAAAAGTGGACTGGTGCATTAAACATTTCAAAAGTTGTAAACAATTAAAAAAAGTAAAAAGTAGTGTTTAGTTTTTGCTTATACTTTGTAAACTAATAATTTTTTTGATTTGAAACAAAACATCCTTAAAGAGGAGGAAGTTTATTAAAAAAAATCCGATTACCTCCATTATTAATTGTTTTAATTTAACGTTGAAAATTGCTGTTCACGCACCATATTGAGGTTGCGCGCATGGCATCGCAAGTTAGTAAGATACAATATAGACAATTTTTAGGGTATATAAAGTAGATTTGAAAATCTAAAAAAATTATTGAATAATCTAAACACTTCGAAAAACTCATTTCCGTTGAAGTTTTTTATTGAAGTTAATTTTCTACTTATTTAGACCATTGGTAATTAACAACTTGTTCCGGGACTTACTTGATCATTGTCTTTCTTGTATACTCGTTTAAATAAAAGTTTAAATAAATTTAATACTTTGTTTATAATTATTTTTTTAAGTTAATAAAAAAATGAAATTCACCGTAATGTTTTTTTTTCCTTTGTCATTAACTTACCGTTTTTATGTCAATAAAATACATTTATTAAGTAAAAAAATTAGATCGGTTGTTTGTCATTTTTTTATATATTTCAATATTTAAAAAAATATTGCAACTTCATAAGGAACTGACATTTATTATTTTATTTTTTTAACAATAATTTTTAATTGTTTTTTTCATATATTAGTTAAGAATTTGTTTAAGATCATAATTGATAGTTCTCTACAAAATAACAAACAGCAATTTTTCTTTCATTAACAATTTTATTGTTTATTATATTAATTTGTTATAAACAAATTGTTAACTTTTCTTAATTTTTTTTCTGAAACTTTTAAAAATTACAAAACCGTCAATCATAAATGACAGTTCTTCATGAAATTATAAAAAAAAAAAATTAAAATAGTCCAAATTTATAAACAAATGGAGCAATTTTTTGTATTAATAAATGCTATTTATTAACATAAAAACGGCGAATTTTCTCCTTTTTGCTTAACTTAATAATTTTGCATAAAGTATTAAATTTATTTAAACTTTCATCACACTATCTTATTTTATGGGTACTCAAGAAAGGCTCCGCGAAAAGAAAAAAAGTTTATGGCAATTATTTAAATATGTATTTGTTAAAATTTGCAATGATAAAAAAAGGATGTTCCGGAAAAAGTTGTTTAGATTTTTAAATCTACTTGATATACTCTAAATAAATGTTTTTTTCTACTCCCGTCTGTAAAATACCTAATTACCCACCGATCAATTTCGTTTCCCATGAATCCGAGCCACTTCGGACATCTCCAGGATTTTAGCGCACGCTTTTGAGAGCAATCGGATGTTTTCGGAGATATTTCCCACGCAACTCACTTGAATTTTGACGTTTGTCAAATCTGACGGTCATTTCAGTAAATGTATTCGCGTTGTTTTGCGAAAATGGACCCAAAAACTAACGATCGTAGAAAAAGTATAGTATGCAACACGTTCGGTAAACTTTTTAACTCAATCGTTTATTAAAAACTCGTGAGTCAAATGCCGTTTACCGCACTTGTTGCATAATATACTATATTGTAACTTAACTTAACCTCAATATGATGCACCCTAAAAATTGTCTATATTGTATCTTACTAACTTGCGATGCCATGCGCGCAACCTCAATATGGTGCGTGAACAGCAATTTCCAACGTTAAATTAAAATTGTTAATAATGGAGGTAATCGGAACTTTTTTTACGCAAATATCATCCTCTTTAAGGACCTTTAGTCAAAATTAAAAAAAAAATACTTTACATATTACAATTAAAAAATAAACACTGCTTTATTATACCATCTTTGATTGTTTATAACTTTTGAAGATTTTAATGTACCAGTCTAGTTTTTTAGACATAATACCGTATCGAATGAGCGATATCACATAATCTTAGTAGTAGTATGTTCAATTAACGTCATTTCAAACTCATTAACTAGACTACATCCCAGTTCGCACAAACTTCCAAATTATACCATTTGGCTCAAGGGTGCAAATATAAATATGACTTATTTGTTTTATCAGGGTCATTTTTTTGCCGTGGGTGGGAGAAATAATAGTCCCGGCCATAGCTACGACTCCGATTGGGTAGATCGATATAATCCGGTATTGGATGAGTGGATGCCCTGCCATCCCATGTCCGTTCCAAGGAACCGAGTTGGGGTGGCTGTAATGGACGGTCTTCTTTACGCTGTGGGCGGCGGAGAGTGCAGCAAATACCACAGTAGTGTTGAATAGTACGTTATATATTATTTTATTTATCTGCTATGGTTCAGTGAAATATTTTCCATTTTTTAGTTATGATCCTGAAATGGATCGATGGACAATGGTGAAACCTATGCACTTTCCCAGATTAGCCGTGGGTGTAGCGGTAGTCAACAGGTTACTTTACGCTATTGGCGGCTTCGACGGCACGGTGCGCCACAATTCGGCCGAATGTTACCATCCTGAAAATAATGAGTGGTCGATGATTCCTTCCATGCATACTATGAGGAGTGGGGCAGGTATATTCACCTTCATATGTATGTGTTTTAGGGATAACAAATGATTTCAGGTTCGGGAGAAATTAGCATCAATTTTTTTATAATCCTATGTTTCTTATCATCATCAATTTAACAACTTTTGTTTTTTTAGGCGTCTGTGCGATGAATCAGTACATCTATGTTGTTGGGGGCTATGACGGTAGAAAGCAACTCAACAGTGTCGAGAGATATGATACTGAAAAAAAACATTGGGAATTCATTCCCAGCATGCGAATATCCCGCAGCGCCTTAAGTGTTACTGTATTAGATGGAAGGATTTATGCTATGGGTCAGTTTTGTGTTATTATTTAAAATTTTCATTTTAAACATCGATTATGGTGATGGTGACGATGGTGAAAAACGTCGACAGTTTCATGCAGTCGTTTGGTACCTTAATATAATTTTAAATGCCTACCCTCAATATCGTTTTGAATAAATAAAATACCGAACTGATGTTCACACTTTGAATCTTCGATATAGGGGTCTCATTGCTCCTCCACCGCGCCGTAAAGCATTGTTTGAAAAATCGTTTTCCTACTGTGTCTACAAAAAAAATATAAAAATTTTCTTTATAATCAATCTATTAGTCAAAGATAATTAATCAAAATCGATTTCTATTAATGAGATACTGTACAGTTTTATTTCTTTATTTTTTGTGTATGTTAAGATTTAAGTAGCCATGAAATTAGGGATTGGGCTTTGATCTTTTTTAAAATTGTTTCCCAGTTCCTTTTTTTTTGCTCTGTGCTTTTGATTTATTGCTAATAAGTAAATGTAAATACGAATAAACATATTATTATTATTATTATTATTATTATTATTATTATTATTGGGCAATTTTTAGGTGGATATGACGGTCATAATTTCTTAAGGGATGTTGAAATTTACGATCCGTTGACAGATGTGTGGAGCGAAGGTGTGCCTTTAACTTCTGGACGGTCTGGTCATGCCAGCGCCGTTTATTACCAAGCGTCAACGCAAGATGTCCCGTATCGTACCAGCCTTCAACCTTATCCGAGCACATCAAGAATGGCGGTTTTGTAGATTCCAAAGTTTTTTTTCCAAAGAGGAAAAATGAGATCCTAGGAGTGGGATTCTACATTTTTGTGATACAATAGTGATTTTGTGAGTTGGTAAAATCAAGGATTATAAGGATTATAAATTGCAAGCAAATATCAAAGAATTACTAAAATCTTAAAAATGTAAGCAAAGATAAAGTGATAATTTGGCCATATATTATGTGTATTCCATTGGAGACCTGTAGATTTCTTAGGTGGGTCTTACTACATGAGAGCTTCGATTTTATTCTATACATTATTAAAGTTTCGAAGAGGATATTATTTGTTTGTCATTGAATCTGTGATTCAGTGTTATATATGTATAGGGAATGTCCTGAATGACTGACTAATATATAAATTGCAATATTTGCAACTAGGTGTTAAGTATCACTTTAGTTAGTTTAAGCGCAATAAATCCATACATGCTTTTGTGTATTCTTCAAAGAATGAAAAAACAATAATGAATGGTATTTCTTTGTATGTGGTGACCAAAATGAATCAAATGGATTAAACACTTGAATATTTTGGTTTAAAGATAATGCAGGCTGTCTTTTTTTTACTGCCTTCGTTAGAATGTTTTACACGTGCTTTTTGGGTTACATGCGTGTATTTTTTCTTAATAGGTGGAATTAATAAATTTACAAAACTTTAATTTGTTGATAAAAATACCAAAAAAAAAACAGCATTTAAAACTCCATTGCGAATACTTTCTACCCTTATAAAATATTTCCAGAAGTTAAGCAGTTACTATAAAAATATCCGTTTACTATTAGGAATTGAGTAAATATTCTTCAGAGGACTCAAATCTATATTCTAATATCAATTTTCTTTCTTGAGTTTTCATGAAAGATTAATGTGTAAGATGTAAGGGTGAATTTTGTTTAATTCCCGGGGCCATTGTTGTTGATAAGACGGGAAACGGAGCGTCTAAAACTGGACCATACATTTAAAATATTTTTTTCTAATTGAGCAAGCAAACTTTTGTTATTGTGCTGGTGAAAGTGACTATAGTTTACATACCTGATTGATTGTAAATATATGTAATGTCTAGTCAAAAAATCTAAGCTAATATTGATCTTTTTATTGTTGAGTGCTTTTTTCTAATTAAATTCGTTTATTTACTTAATGTTAAAGTAAACTTTATGAAAACTAAACCTTATTTTGCAAAACTTCGATATTTTCACGTAGTTAACAGTAACAGATCCTCATTGATATGCCAGAACTCTACCCTTGTTCTAGTGTTTTCACTTCATTAACATATTTTTTTTTGTTTGTCGAGCTAATTAATACGTTCAATGTATTATTTTGAAGATCATTCTTCCGTCCAACAATCATCCAATCGTAATTTTCGTTTCATTGTGCCTTTAGATATGTGTGTGTAATTTCAAAACTTTGCCTCTGTATCTGTTTATCGATTGATAGTCTATAATTATTTTAATTTTAATTGTTTTTTTTTTTCAATTTATAATACAAAATTAAAATGCCTATCAATTAATATTAATCATTTTTGAAATTGGTCATTGTTAGTGGCGTGGACTCTTTAATTGTTATTTTTTGGTTAGTGTTAAAAAAAATAGTGACGTGTTTTTTATTACTTAGGCTCTGTAAAAGCCACCCACAAAACGTCCAGTATTACTAAAATTTTGCTTAAGAACGCATTTTTGAAAAACTTATTCACAATATGTTCTGACTTACGGGGGTTGCTTTAAAACTGTTATTAACTGGCATGTGGAGACAACTATGGTCGTTTCATTTAGCACTGTTACTACTAAGCTTGGCTAAATATGTAATTGATAATTTGTTTTATTTATTTCTAAACTTTTATATTTTGTTTGTTTATTTCTTTGGTTTATGTTGTTTTTTGGACAATCAGAATAACAAATATTTAATAAGAACACAATCTTTTAAGTAGTTTTACAAGCTTGTACTATTGTAATTAGAACTAGTTGTTACTTTTATGCTTAGCGAGAGAAGATGTACAAAAACTATTACATGTACAGTATTTTGCTAATAAACATTCCGATTTTAAAACTTGCGTTTTATTTAATGTACATGAAAAAATTCGAAATAAACTAATTTCCTAAATTCTGCAAAAACACTAATTTGTGATTAGAAACAACAAACGAATAGTAGACTATTGGCGTGCGGGAAGCGTCACTGTACCACGTCATTTTCGTTTCCCACGGACCCAAGCCACTTTGGACAATTCCGGGATTTTACCGCACGAGTTTGACAGCAATCGGATGTTTTCGAATATATTTCCCACGCCTTGAATTTTGACGTTTGTCAATTCTCACAACCATGTCAGTGAATTGATTCGTGTTTTTCGAAAATGTACCCAAAAACTAAAGATCGTAGAAAATAGTATATTATGCAACAAGTGCGGTAATCGGCATTTGACCCACGAGTTTATTTGACACGAGCGGAGCGAGTTTTTAATAAACTGGTTAGTTAAAAAGTTTACCGTACGTGTTGCATACTATACTTTTTCTACGACCGTTAGTTTTTGGGTGCATTTTCGCAAAACAACACGAATACATGCACTGACACGAATGTCAGAATTGACAAACGTCAAAATTCAAAGCGTGGGAATATCTCCGAAAACATCCGATTGCTCCCAAATCCGTGCGGTAAAATCCCGGAAATGTCCGAAGTGGCTCGCATTCATGGCAATCGAAACTGACGTGGTAAAGTGACACTTTCCGCACGGTAGATCGATGGGTAATTGGGTATTTTACAGACGGGAGTAGAAAAAGTATAGTATGCAACACGTTCAGTAAACTTTTTAAGTCACTCGTTTATTAAACGCTCGCTCCGCTGCGAACTGCTCGTGTCAAACTCATGAGTCAAATGCCTTTTACCGCACTTGTTGCATAATATACTATTTCATATGGTGGTCTTTTACGTATATTTTAACATCCTTGTCAGTCTTGTAGCTGTTGAAAAATTTATGTTGTATTAGAAGAAAACATTTTATTTTACAAATCAAAAGGGCATGGTGACGTAGTTTAAATGCTAGTTTTGGTTAATTATCATTTATCAAATTGCGAAAGTTGCATATCTGAGATTTAAAAAATCTTGTTTTTAACCAAGGACTTTGGGGAATTCAGCAACCAACATGACCGCTGACAGGTCAAACATAAGTTTGGATGTAACATTTTTACGGCAGTATTTTCTGAAAATATGCCTACTTCTCCTCAAGTGTTCTGGGAAAACGAGGATGGAAATCGCTGTTTATAAAGGAAACGCCACAAAACTGCAGGTTAGTGAGGGAAATATAGAGGCATGCGCGGAAAATCATTAGCAGTATATTATTTAATAGCTCTATGACGTATGGTAACAAAAATCTGCTGAAAGTGGGCGAGAATGTCTAAAGGCCTTTATGTCTAAAATGACTAACCATATAACACAATTTTCAAGCAGCTCCTATAATGTACACATCAACCTCCCTAAAACTTTATTTTTAATGTTCAATAGTCCCGTCTGTAATACAAATTAAAGATTTATTTGTTCAATCCAAAGAAATACTTGGTGCCACAATTCTCTATTTAGTTCTTTACTCATATTAAACACCAGAAAAGTGAATATAATTTTGATTTCACTTTTCGGGAATTTTAAGTTTAAAATGTCCCATCTGGACCATACGTAGCGACTTTTATAATATTTATAGAGCTCGAAAAAAAAATTAGATAAGCAAAATTTAAGTGAATTAGTACTATATATTTATTTTAAACTAAACATGATGGATGTTTGTAAATAAAAATATTGAAAAATTTTAATTAGCATTATTTGATAATCATGGTATTCTGGTATGGTATGGTATTCTGAACAAGCATGAGGTTTATAAAGGGAGCCGTAGGCTAGTGTTATAAACCATTATGATATGTCTATTGAATAATAATATAGTATTATTTATGTATTTCTCAAATATGTAAATTGCTCAACATACTAACCGCACCGACCAACAAAAGGGCTCTATTTGAAATAACTCGGCCTTGCACTTGCACAGTCGGTCAAAAGAAGAATTTTAGACAATAACTGTAACCATTTTAGCCCACAATTTTTTATTGTCTTTGCCATTTTGGTTACCAGTTTCATACCTCTAGATGTTTTTTAAATTCCAAGTCTCCGTGATTTAATTTATTTGATATCACAAATGAGAAAAACCCTGATATGTATGACTGTAAGGTCATATGTATTGTAGTAAATTGTTATTCCATAAGCAAACGCGTGCATTCCAAACCAACATGGCCGCTGGCAGGTCGTTAATAAGTTTGTGTTTGGAGTTCGATGTTTAAAATGCCGCAAAGTGTAGGTTAGTATGTGAAATTAACAGGCATGCGTGGAAGATTATTCCCATCTCTACGAAAATATCATACTCGTCCGAGGCACATCAATTTTTACCCTATATGGTAATTATTATGACTCAAAAAAGTATTGCCGTAAAAATATAACAAGTTTAAAGTGATAAGTGTCGAATTGACAAAAATCTAGCGGCCATGTTCATTATCCTAAATACAGCAAGGTCTTATTGGTTAGAAGCGAGTATCGAAATGATTCACGCATTCGCATATTGAGTAAGTCCCTTCTTAACATCTTTAATATTGACACTTTAAAAGTGCCAACAGTATTGTCCGCTGTGTAACTATCTAATCAAACAAAGTTAGTTATTGCAACTGAAAGGTTTGAGTTTACCAGTCATAAACTCTAGGATAAAGTCATGTTGAACATGTTGTCGGGGCTACTTCTATTGGACCTACCGCATATGTTCATTGTTATTCCAATTAGAGCGTTTTGCGGTCTTCTCCCGTTAGATGATCCAATTTTAATCGTGATATTAACCAATTATTAACTTAAAATACTAAAATTCGTGCATCGGGCTTGTTAGTAAAGTTTCAGTCCGCTTTGGTTCACCACAAAGTACAGATAAGACCCATGTAAACCATGCGATAAAGCATATTACATGAAAATCAGATTTAATTTTGCTAACGTTCAGACCGCTTTAATTTTAGTTATATGCGAGTTGCAGCAATAGTTGCCGTATTGTTTAGAGTCGTAATTAAATTTACAGTGTGTTCAGAATCGGAAACTTCTGCATGAGGATCTTGGAAAATGTAAACATTGCAGATACCGTTTAATTATTCAAATAATAGGTCCATGTCCCTAGCTATTTTTTTTCGTTAAGAATTATAAAAAAACTTATTTATTGTATTAAATTTTCTAAAGGCGAAACAGATTCATTCTCTGTATTTACGTAAACAGAATGTCTAAGCAAATGCTAGAATATATAGAAACAGTTAAATATCAACAAACCGATTACGACAGTGTCGAATTGTTTTCGATCTAAGTTCAAACACCTGCACAGATATAAAAATTGGTTTCACTGCTCAAGAAATTACACATTGGATAAGATAATGCTAACAATGTTTCCTAGTGTATCCGAAATTATAAGTCACATGTAGGGAAACTGAAATATGCTGAAATAACGAAAATATTCAGAAATTTTACCCCAAACAAGTAATACAAGTGACTATATAAGTAACTCTAACCTTTAATTTTCTTTTTAAGTAGGCAAAATTATTCTCAATGAAAAAATTACTCTATACATATTATACATAACTCAATTATTTTTGTGATTCGTTTAATTTTTCTACATTTGTTGTAGATTCCTATATATACATATTTAGTTTACTTTAGTTAGTAATTTCGACTAAAAACATATTACATATTATATTTAAATTCTCTTAGTGAAAATGTTTTTAATGTACATGCATTTTGACAATTTAACTAAAATCCTAATTTTCTAACCCAAATTTTTATTGTTGGCGAATTTAGTGGTTCGTTCCTACTAAACTTGTTAATTAAATTGCGTTAGTTAAGTTATCCAATTAAACTTTAATATATCTTGGATATGTCGGCGAATACCGTAGAAAGTTTACAAGCCGAGGCAGATATTATTGGACGCTCTCGCAACTTTCAGATTTTAAAACAAAACGCTGCGTACAAAGCTCTCCCGAATTGCAATTAAATCTCTGTTTTATTATTCCTGAAATCCGTTAAATGTCAACATAATTGACTATAAATGGCTGGATATTGCAAACAGTTCCGAAACATATATGAGACAAACTATTGTGGATTTAATTAGATACCTGACAGTATTATGAGGTGGGTCACTTTTATACCAGAAGGATTTTCTAAACCTAAAGAGATACAGCGACTAGTAGTTGCGAAGTGAAGTATATTATATATATATATACATATATATATATATATATATATATATATATATATATATATATATATATATATATATATATATATATATATATATATATATATATATATATATATATATATATATATATATATATATATATATATATATATATATATATATATATATATATATATATATATATTCTCACGTATTGATTCACGGATGGAAAAATGTGATGACACTATACTCCGGGATATCATCCGTTCGCTCGTTGAACTCCGACTGGAATCCTGCAAATCCTGCATCCGACTGGAATCCTGCAGACGTTTCGCCAAAATCTCACTTGGCATCTTCAATGCTCGCGCTCCGAAAACACCAGTGTTCGAAGTGTTTTCGGAGCGCGAGCATTGAAGATGCCAAGTGAGATTTTGGCGAAACGTCTGCAGGATTCCAGTCGGATGCAGGATTTGCAGGATTCCAGTCGGATGCAGGATTCCAGTCGGAGTTCAACGAGCGAACGGATGATATCCCGGAGTATAGTGTCATCATATATATATATATATATATATATATATATATATATATATATATATATATATATATATATATATATATATATATATATATATATATATATATATATATATATATATATATATATAATATACTTCACTTCGCAACTACTAGTCGCTGTATCTCTTTAGGTTTAGAAAATCCTTCTGGTCTGGCTGGCTCCAAGTGGAGGTAGTCCTCTGCTGACAACGTTTCGGCAAGATCTCACTTGCCATTTTCAAGTCGGG